GCAAGCTTGCTTCTAGATATGCGACGCTAGGGATGATCTCGCGCGCGTTCTCGTGACAATTCTCTCTGACCAATCAGCAGTCGAGAGTGTTGACGTCACTAGTTCAGCCCTGGCCTGATAGAACCACGATTTTATGGGGCCGGAAAAAGAGGGAAAAAGTACCCGCTAGCCGGTGCTACTGCTACGCTATATGGAAAGGCCACCAAAAACTGGCCTGGCCGCTTGAGGACGATTAAGGACGCTTAAACGGGGCTACCCGCTGCAGTGGAAATGCGCCATAAGAGGCCGCTACACATCAACCTGAGACCAAAGAACGTGTACCGAAGGCGTCCCGACTTTTACGTCCGTAACGTCACCTGCGTCGCCTACGCCGCGACCGCCTACGCCGCGACCGCCTACGCCGCCCGCCTACGAACACACCGCAAAGACTTCAGTCGATGAGTGGCAATAACTGTCCTTACCAGCAGGCAGCGGTAGTGTGTATTCGTCATTCAAAAGAGGCAACAGCCAATCAGAGTGATTTCCGCGGGAGGTATGAAAATGTGCCGTAAAGCAACGACGGTGCAGGACACACCAACCTGAGTAGGGTGCCACGAATGCCCGACTGCCTCTGACGGCCTCTGACTCCCAAAATCAGGTAGGTGTGTCAGGACCTTTACTCCCTGCCCTCTGAGCTGAGGAGAGCTGAGTGGGGGGGGGGAAAGAGAACACCCTCACAACCTCGACGACATGCTGGGAGAGTTAAAACCCCACGTGGGTAGCCAAAGAAAAAGCAGTCCAAAAATCATCAGTTCTATTTTTTTTTCTGTGTTATAATTTAGTATGAGAACTGAAGATGAAGAGCAAGCACATTCCTCTGGTGTGGATTCACCCTGGGACTGGAGGTTAGGCTTACTCCTCTATGTCTCAATGAAACCATCCCGGCTCCAGAGACTGACTGAGGTTTTCTCTCCGCTGCAGATTCCACAAAGCCTCAGTGTGTTCATGAAGAAAGCTTCAGGCTGTCTGAGCTGATGGCTCTGCTCTGTAAATGACGCCTTTGCTGTTTCCTAGGGGTTCTTCACTATCTTCACATAAGGGTAGAAGCTGTAGTGTGAACGTCACTTTGTGATTGTTCGCAGCAATAGTAAAGAGGCTCAGTTAGCACCCCCTAGAGGCTGCAGTGTTCATTACATCACACAATTAGAAAGCACTGATAACATGTTTTCAATTTCTTTGTTTTACTGGTAATGAGGCTTGAGAAAGTCTAAGAAGAAAAGGTAATCACATAGTACATATTTTCTTTGCAACATGGTTTGGGTACAAAAAGCAGGGTCAAAATTCCCACCAATATGTGTCCCCCACTGTATATTCCCTTTAAATATGTTCTTTTGATGATGTTATTAAAGCTGGGGAGGCAGTATACAGTGGGGCAAAAAAGTATTTAGTCAGCCACCAATTGTGCAAGTTCTCCCACTTAAAAAGAGGAGAGAGGCCTGTAATTTTCATCCTAGGTACACTTCAACTATGAGAGACAGAATGGGGGGAAAGAATCCAGGAAATCACATTGTAGGATTTTTAATGAATTAATTGGTAAATTCCTCGGTAAAATAAGTATTTGGTCACCTACAAACAAACAAGATTTCTGGCTCTCACAGACCTGTAACTTCTTCTTTAGGAGCCTCCTCTGTCCTCCACTTGTTAACTGTATTAATGGCACCTGTTTGAACTCGTTATCAGTATAAAAGACAACTGTCCACAACCTCAAACAGTCACACTCTAAACTCCACTATGGCCAAGACCAAAGAGCTGTCAAAGGACACCAGAAACACAATTGTAGACCTGCACCAGGCTGGGAAGACTGAATCTGCAATAGGTAAGCAGCTTCGTGTGAAGAAATCAACTGTGGGAGCAATTATTAGAAAATGGAAGACATACAAGACCACTGATAATCTCCCTCGATCTGGGGCTCCACGCAAGATCTCACCCCGTGGGGTCAAAATGATCACAAGAACGGTGAGCAAAAATCCCAGAACCACACGGGGGGACCTAGTCAATGACCTGCAGAGAGCTGGGACCAAAGTAACAAAGGCTACCATCAGTAACACACTACGCCGCCAGGGACTCAAATCCTGCAGTGCCAGACGTGTCCCCCTGCTTAAGCCAGTACATGTCCAGGCCCATCTGAAGTTTGCTAGAGAGCATTTAGATGATCGAGAAGAGGATTGGGAGAATGCCATATGGTCAGATGAAACCAAAATAGAGCTTTTTGGTAAAAACTCAACGAGATGTGTTTGGAGGAGAAAGAATGCTGAGTTGCATCCAAAGAACACCATACCTACTGTGAAACATGGGGGTGGAAACATCATGCTTTGGGGCTGTTTTTCTGCAAAGGGACCAGGACGACTGATCCGTGTAAAGGAAAGAATGAATGGGGCCATGTATCGTGAGATTTTGAGTGACAACCTCCTTCCATCAGCAAGGGCATTGAAGATGAAACGTGGCTGGGTCTTTCAGCATGACAATGATCCCAAACACACCGCCCGGGCAACGAAGGAGTGGCTTCGTAAGAAGCATTTCAAGGTCCTGGAGTGGCCTAGCCAGTCTCCAGATCTCAACCCCATAGAAAATCTTTGGAGGGAGTTGAAAATCCGTGTTGCCCAGCGACAGCCCCAAAACATCACTGCTCTAGAGGAGATCTGCATGGAGGAATGGGCCAAAATACCAGCAACAGTGTGTGAAAACCTTGTGAAGACTTACAGAAAACGTTTGACCTCTGTTATTGCCAACAAAGTGTTGCGGTATAAGGCACTTAGGATGTTGGACCCAATTGCAGACAGGGCGACAGGTAAAGTATTGTAAGATACTTTATTTTTCCATGACTGGCAAAAATGAACAAAAAGGTAACCACCAAAACTCTAGTCGAGATGACAAAAAAACAGAGAACAAAAAATCAAGACGCTCACGCAGTGAGGAATCAAAAACCTTTCATGAGTACCAGGAGCATAGACCTTACCATGACAATAGACAAGACGAACTGACACTGAACACTGGGAGACAGGGGAATTTAAACACAGGGTAACTAGACACAGGTGGGAACAATCAGGGGCGGGGCTGACACTGATGAGCACAGGAGACACACAAGGAGTGACAGGTGAAAACAATCAGGAAATTAGACACACCAGGGAAACTAACGACAGACATGAAAACACAGGGAAAAGAGACCAGACAATATACAGGGAGGAAAACATGACAAGGAGAACGGAAAAACACCCACACCTAGACATAGAAACGTGACATGACATAATAATCCTGACACAAAGGGTATATAACAAAGTATTGAGATGAACTTTTGTTATTGACCAAATACTTATTTTCCACCATAATTTGCAAATAAATTCTTTAAAAATCAGACAATGTGATTTTCTGGATTTTTTTTTCTCATTCTGTCTCTCATAGTTCAGGTATACCTAGGATGAAAATTACAGGCCTCTCTCATCTTTTTAAGTGGGAGAACTTGCACAATTGGTGGCTGACTAAATACTTTTTTGCCCCACTGTATTTGGACGTCATTCTGCAAATATTCCTTCATAACCTTGCCAGTGTACAGAAACTTCTCCACCTCCAGGAGAGCAGGCCACGCAATTTGAATTCAGCCCTCACAAACTCCAGTGCTTGGAGTCATAGTGGGCTGTTGCAGCACTGTATCTAACAAGTGTTATCACAAGATAGGATGGGCTTGGGCTAGTCAGCTAGCATGCTAATTTCATTAGATAGCTAATGCAACACATACATGTCTTCTACATAACGGCAATAATGTAAACTTTTCAAATTCTGTAGAGTTCTCTGTTTAGAAATGTAATGTCTGACCATATCTTACACATTGCACCTTTAAAGTGAAAAGTCAATGATGTCGGCATGCACAGCACATGTGAGTAAGGTTTTGGGATTACAAGCTACCTAAATGAATGGTGTATTACATGTTTAGGCGATCACACATCCCTCTGTGCCCTCTGTCTTCCTCCTGTCTCTGAGAGCTGTCTGAGATATACTCTGTCTGGAATGAAGCCCAAAGCTCTCCTCTGCTGACGTGACCGGACAAATTAGTGTTACTCCAGCTAATATATTCAAACTGCTGCCGAGCCGCTGCAGAGAACATTGAGAAGTATTAGAAATGATAGCCTTGACTGTCAGCGACGCTAACCACTCCTGAAAAGGTGACAGCACATTTGGCTGCCATTTGCTGCGAGAGAGAGAAAAAAAAACGTACAAGTTTAACTTTGGGGCATTTTGATCTTTAATTCATACGGGATGTGGAAAAACGTGTTTGGTCTATTCACTCTCAAAAGAGTCATTCTGACCAGAGAAACATGCCATGGAGATCATCTCACGCCATCGGGCCTTCACCACTTTGATGATTTTGTACTTTCTCAGTGCCAGTAGACTCATTGACAAACTATCCTTTCATAGAAAAGCCCAGGGAGGAACAACTCCGCACCACTCCCACTCTCACGCACCCAAATGCTGAATATTTGAGGCGACTCTTGGATGTGTTTTATGCAGACAACATCTGACAGGCTTGAAATGAAGCCAAGGCAGATATGAAAGCCGGCACTGTCTGTCAAAACCATGAAATAATCAGCCCCCCCATCCACCTCAGGGGCCCAGCTGAAAGTCATTAGCCCAACACAATGTGCTGTCTCTACAGTTAGTCTGAAAAATAATAATAGTAATAATACTTAGGAGAATTACCATAACTATCGGAGAGGATCTCAATTATCTGGTGCGTTTCCAGCCCACTGTGGCAGATTGCAGCGCGGTCACTGTCAGGGCTGAACTGTCGGAATATTTCGGGAAAATTGGTCAGCATTTATGTTCCAGCCTTGATTATAATAGCCAATGGCGATTACCCATCTCTAATCCTATTAACTTTGTTTGTCATGGGATGAAAAACATAAAATATGAAAAGGACATTTCAGAAATCATTAAACTACATCCATATGCTTTCAGAGATTGTTATTTTTTTATTTTTGAAAAATGCAAGTAAACGCTAAGCTAAGCAAGAGCTAAATTGAAGAAAACAAACAGTAAGTTATAAATAAATTAAGGATTCTTATCATCACATTTGTAGATATTGTGCAAGAAAATGTATTTAAGCAAATAAAGCAATTTATAGTCTAAATGTAAACACATAACAGAAGAAAAAATTAAGAAATCCATATAAAAAAATCTATTCATCTGCAATATTACAAGCAAAAGTTAAAAAAAAAACTTACATAAAGTTTGATTATTTACACCAGACTAGCTTGTACTGAGTGCACTGAATTAACAGTATTTCTCCTGCAATACAATGTGAACAGAGAACTACATGTTGCACTGAAAGGTAACATTAGGACCTCATCTTCAACCGTTATTAAAGAGGACATATTATGCTCAATTTCAGGTTTATATTTTTTATATTAATTCTAAATCATTGAAGGATTAATATTCTTGAAACTTTCCAAAACCCTAGAAAAAGCAAGGTCGTGTTACAAAAAAAAAAATGGAAGTTCAGCATTGTGCAGAGCAAGGATACTATTTCCAACAAAGAAAGTGATTTGGCTCTCAGGGAACAGCATTTTGATACTGACCCCAAGGCTACTGATATTTTTGTCACATGACTTTTGTTAACAGGTTCCCCTGCTCAACTTTACATGCAGATCATATTACAATGGGGTGAGAATTCATATAACAAGAAACTCTTATAAATATCAAGTTTAAAATAATTACCATGTTTAAAACATAAAGCAATATGTTTTTTATTTAGAAATCTAACATGGTACATTATGGCTGAGTGCTGTCCTTGTAATGTAACATGCTGGATTTAGTGTCTAACGGGATACAAATCATTCACTTGGCAGACAAACCATCTTAGTCCATATGTTATTCCAATGATCCTCGTGGTTGAGACAGGAACAACTCAAGAGAGCTGAGGGTCCACCTTTAATGTCATCACGATACAGACCCCGGAGGTGGTCGGCCGACAATAAATTACAGTCTAGCTTTGGTGGACGTACAGAGTGCTTCTGTAGAAGGTTAATGTCCACGTAAAACCTTTATTTGACTTCTGGGCTGTGCAGAAAAATAGCTCCTGTCTCCATAAAATCTCCCCGGGTGCCATCACACACTCCACACGGCGGTTTCAGGATTTATCTGCTGTTGAACACTTGGAAGATTTCTTGCTGTGGTGTTGTAGTTTTTAGAGACCTGATCAAAAATATAGACTCAGACAAAAGAGGAAAAACGTGTGCATTCAGATTAAGGTTGGATTTCCCTCTGAGAGTTATGATGTCACTACTTCATTGCAATCATCCAGACAGGCATGATGATGTCAGGGAAGCCTTCCTGCTTTTCTACAGCCAGGACCTCGAGGCCGGCCTTGCCGATGATGCACCTCATGATGTCCAGATGGCGGCTGATGCTGCTGTCGATTGGGTCCAGCTTGCAACCCTGCCGCGCCATATTGTCCTTTATTATGATGACGCCGTTTGGATGCAGACTCTTCTTACAGCGCATCAGGAAGTTCATCAGGTCCTTGTCTGTTAGGTGGCCTAAGGAGAAAAACAGAAAGGATAATAACAATCCCCAAATGGTATACATCATAGTAGATAGAGTCAACAGCACTCTTCTGTGATGGAACCTCCTGAAGCAATGGAGACGAAACTCAGTGAGACAATGGGAGAGCTGGGGCTTGATAGCAAACACTGAAGATTTATTATGAAGTTAACGGCCGGAGAATTGACAAGACATGTGCTGCAGCCACGAGGTGACACAGCGGTTGCCGGACCAATTCTGAAGAATCTTTCCCCAGTCCCATGCATTTAGCTGGTTCTGAGAGAATAATCAACATTGTGCATAACAAGATAAAACAGGCGAAGCACAATAACACCTCTATCAGCTGACGCCAACAGGCAGGACTAGGGAGACCAAACAATGAGAGCACAGCAGCCCAAGGTTGCAGGCCTGTGCTCAGTGAGGGCTGTACAAACTGATAAACTCGGTCAAAGTTATGGGCCTAGGAAAATATTTCCCCAACATCTTCCTTATGTATTGCTGACCTCACAAGAGAAAGATAATTTGTTGTATTTCCTCTCACAAAAAGCAAACAAGGTCATGCATCCTCTGGAGGACCCTGAGGCGTTTCCAGGCCTAATTTATGTATCCACTGAGAGTTTTCCTGCATTCATAACAGTGGTTGTACACCAAGCTCATTCCTGGTGCTCAGACACCTAGGGACATTGTGCCTGCCATGACCCATAATATTATTTTTTGTTCTACACTATCTGAAGCTTTTGAACAGAGGTGAGCAGTGGCGAGCCGTGACTTTTATCCCTAGGGCCTCTGACCCCCACCTCCCTCGAAAAAAAGAAAGAAAAGAAAATAGTTATTACGTCACAACGTATACTTCAGCGGAATATCAAAACAATGGTCCGGGGTGCAAAACGCATCAATGACAGCGGCCCTCTACCACACAAAACAATACCTGTAAACAACCCAATTTGTGTTCTTTGAAATTGAAAAGGATATTCCATTGTGTTTGTTTCTTTCGTTGCAGTTGTTTATATGTCTTAAAGCTGGGGTAGGTAATTCACTTCAGAAACACTTTTTGTTATATTCCATGGAATGCTCTTAACATCCCGATAGCAATGAATACATGAAATGCTTTGACAATAAATACATACAAAGATTTCATCTGTGGAAATTCTAGCGCACTCGAGCTGGTTTCTCCATTCTTACCTACCCTACCCTAAGTGTCATTTGGCTTGGCTTCCTATTTTGTATGGACAAAAGCGAGTTTACGCTGTTGACAGGAAGTTGTTACTATGGAAACAACGTCACAGAGAAAAGCTTCACAGCGGGCGGAACTTGTCATAAAGTCTGCGATAATAAAACCCACCCATTTAGAGGGAAGATATGATTGGTCAATTGTACTGTCATTTGACATTACTCTCTCATTGAGTTACTATAGTGGGCCCTCTGTGAATTCATAGCTGGACCACCAATCAGCTCCTGTCTTCACAGTAACTCGCAGAGACGAGCTTCTTTCATTTAACCCTTCACATTCAAACAGAAACTGAATAGGCAGATTTGAAGGATTTATTTCGTTGGAAATGTTATTTTAAATACAATTAAATACATTTATTTTGGTAAAACTAATAAAAAATATAACTAAAAAAATATTTAATTTTTTTTATTATATATATATTTTTTTTTAATGTTTTTAAATATTATTTTGTAGAATATCGTAGGCCCTCAGAGAGGGCCTAGAGGGCCCTGACGGCTCGCCACTGGAGGTGAGGGATGGACCACAGATAAACTGGTAAATAAAAAGTCAGGCTCAGCTTCCTTTTAATCCTAAGAGTCCATATTTCTGAGGTGTTGATTGTTAACTGATGGGGTAATTGTGTTTCATAATTACAGAAGAGGAAGTGGTAGTACCTAAATGATTCTGTCAGAGAGGAATAACTTATTTTAGTAAATTGGATAATTAGTAGACTTTAACCTAAACAAGCTATCAAACCTACTAATTGACCTACAGAGCTGCTGAAAACAAAACTCGGTGTGCTTTGGAATGCAGCGACTTGCGTCCAATACCAGTGAGGTTGTGCTCTTTAAATAGTAAGTTAGTAAAGAGATACAATCAACTGAGATACCTCTAATACTTACATGCCACCCACTGCATCCAGATGACGTCATATTTGTTTTTTGGAGGCGTGAAGTCTTGCAGGTTGTAGCAGTAGTAGGTCTCAATGCGGTCTGCATCATCGCCAAGGTACTCCTCGTGAGCATGGAGCAGGAAGTGCTCCATCATGTCCACCAGCTCCATTTTCTCAAACACAGGGAGGAGGACGCCTTTGCTCACACGGCCGATGCCTGAGCCACAGTCCAGGGCACACTGTGTGCCTGCCTTACCAGGACCCTGTGGGTAAACAAACGGTATTAAACATTCATAGTTGTATCCACGTTGTAGTATAAGTCGACCTTATTTAGAGGCTTATTCAGAGGATATAATCTGTTAAATTCCCAAATGAAGATTATTTTCAAGGAAACCACCACAAATATGTTTCATGTTTCACAGAAAACAAAAAGTACATTTAAATGTCAGTTTCCTTGCAGCATGTTATTACCATATCTTTAAATCAGGGATATACTTCATTTTCTGTTGCCAGATGTCAGGCATGTTCCCTCAAAAGCACCGACAGCACAAACAAGTCAACCTCAGTTCCTCAGGGCAACAAAACTATGAACTTCACCATGAAAGAAACAAAAAGTCACCTCACTTGAATCATGCTTGGTTTTCTTCCTTTTTCATTTGGTATTCTGACCTCACTCCAACCCCTCCACATCTTGGGCTGAAAGAGGGGGCCCAGAGGAGCTCTGTGCTTGTTGCAGGAGGTTTCCTGGTTTTGGTGAATTACTGCCATATTGCTCTGTGCGTATGTAGCTCAGTTTAATCCGGATGTATTCTAAATCTTTTCCTTTCCCAACTTGTTTGAATGGCCATGTCAACTTTAAACAGGAGCTGCTGACAGCCAGGGAGGAGGATGTGTAACTGAACACACATTTGCAGAAGAGATGGTGGAAAATAGACAAACCTTTGGACACTTTATTTTGTATTTATTCATGTTAGGAGATAAACTCTACCCATTAGATGCACACCAAAAAAAACAACACCAACCACTATAAGTCACACATTTCAAAATGAAGTTCATCCCTTTAAAGAGAGATGGACCACACAAGTATAGGAAGTTTCACAAATGGATATGAATGCACAATAGTTTTTTTCTGAAGTATGGCAGTCTTGTTGTCTCTACGATTATTGGATTCCCAGCATCTGGCAGTGCTGCTGCCCACTGGCTTTAACATCATCCCAGTGCAGATGTCCAGACAGAAATGAACATGAACCAAAACACTTCTATACAAAAATTATGCATTATGCATTTCTGTCAATTTGTTGTCTAACTTTATTGGTTTTATACAATATTATACAATTACTTGTTTTCCTCCCACATTGCAAGAATGGTGTAGTCAATAAGAAGAAGATCTTAAATATCAAAATGTTACGAGCCCAGTTATAAATACATTAGTGATAAAAGGCAGTTTGACAACAACCTATATTTAGCATGTGCTGAAAAAGGCCATTCTTGACTAACAAAAGAAATACAGATGAAATGAAAGCTTTAGCGCAAGTTCAATAAGGAAGACCTAACTCGAGTCACTCACACGTCACTCTATGGCTCCCTTCCCCCCTCATTAAATATGAGGGCGTCATGCCTCAGCAGCCAATCGCTGCACATGCTAAATGCCTTAAATACCTGCTCTTCCTCCCTGTCAGTTGTCATTGCAGATGATCACACGCAATGGTAGTTGCAATACAATACTGCTTCTCGTGAGAAAAAACCGTAAGAAACAACTAGCTCAAGATGTCCAACTCGGACAATTCGGAACACGAACCTTCTCTGGAAGTCTCCGATCCCGGTTCGGCTCCCCACAGCGGCTTATCAACAGAGGAAGACTTCCTCATCGCCCGGCTCCTGCAGCAGGGCTTTCCCACAGCCCCAGGCCTCACTCTCTCAGCGGCGATAGCTCTCGGACCAGGTCTCCAGCGTAGCTCCCCAGTCCGGGGCAGCAGCTCCAGCCAGCTTCCCAGAGAGCAGGATGAGGACGCAGCCGCGGAGGTAAAAAAGGGCAGGAAGTCGAGCCCTCCAGGATCCCGTCCCCCTCCAAAAAAATCCACCCCTTCTCAGGCTCGCCAGTCCGGGAGCGCCACACACCCCTATGGAGAGTAGCGCGGCCGGCTCCCTGCAATCCCTGGCTAGCTCCATGATAGCTATCGATGCTCGCCTCCAGGCTCTGGAAGACTCCGCCACAGGAGCTTCAACTTCCGTTGCACTCAGGTACTAGTTTTAACGAAAACGTTTGCACTCGACCCTTACACAGGGCTGGGTTGTAACGGAATACATGTAACGGTGTTACGTAATCGGAAGAAAAAGAAGGAAAAAAAAATAAAAAATCAGTATATTCAGCTGGCGTTACATTTGAAAAAACGAGTAAACTGAGTGCAGTTACTTTCGTAAACCTGAAGTGAATACTTATTGGAATTATTGGTGGAAAGTTTCCTCACAATGTAATATTCATTACCGGCAGAACCGCGTGCACAGCGCTGCAGCGTATCTGCGAGAGATGCAGCGTGTCCGTGAGGCCCCGCCCCGCACGCAGATGAGAGAGAGAGAGAGTTCTCTTTCAAAACATATTGGAAGGTAGAAACGGAGATGTTTAGATAAAACGTGGAAGATAACGTTTATGTAGCATTTATTTATTGTCGAAATGATGACATTCATAACGGGATCAAATCTAACTGAATGGCCTGCTGCTGCCGAATGCATGGGGCAAGTAACTGGGAAAAGTTTTAAAAGTGATTACATCGTTTCAGATAATAAATAATAATGATAATGTATTCTATTTAGGGGTGCCTTTCAAAGCACCCAAGAACACCTTACAATGCATAAACTTTTCCAAGGAAAGGTTTTAAGACAGTACAAAGAATGCAGTCTGGGTGAGTTTTTCTTTTTTATGTGCGGTGCAGATGAGAGAGCTGTCAAGAATGACACTAAAATGTCGTGTTCGTGCTCTTCATAAGCCATTAAAACAGTAAAATACGTGTCTCCCGTTCACCAAAACATACCCATCTGTTATGGAAAAGAAAGTATTCTAAAGAGAAAGAAGAAAGGAAAAGATAGAAAGAAGAGGAAAAGGAGAAAAGATAAAAAGAAGAGGAGGGAGGAAGAAAAAGAAGAGGAAAGGAAGTATTCTAAAAGTAATCTGCCACCGGTACCGGCGGGATCGTGGTTAGTTTCCGATGCGCAGAAGAGAAATCTGGCCCACCCTATATTTTTACAGGCCCACCCTAAAGTAAATTTCTGCCTACGCTACTGGTCCGCACAGCAGCAGCAACAACCAATCACATGAATCTCTTGCCCCCGACACACAAAGCAATAGCAATGTTAAAACTAAGTAAACTGGAAAAAAAAAATAAAAAATCATCCCCAACAGGCGAAAACCTACCAGTTTCACCCACTGTCTCTGCCTCCTCCCTCCATGCCTCGCTCCTCTGGTTTGTATCCCGGTAGATGAACAGAGACTGATCATACAGCACCGGGTGATTCACTACCGCATAATGAATTTTCCCTCACATTTTTGGAATATGAGGAATTACCTGCGTAGTCTCTCCCAACATACACGCGGTCTGATTGGCTAGCGCTTGTACCGGCAGATTTGCATAAACGGGATTTCATCGGCTGACGCTTCTGCCGAGGCGCCAAAAGTTGAACATTGCTCAACTTTTTGAAGCGAGCAACGCCAGCAAACGCTCCACGTCGCTTCCCAAAATACAGTTCTACTAAAAGTGACGTCACCCCATTCAAAGTGAATGGGCAGAAGCGTTTGGAAGCTGTAACGCACGCCACCGTGTGGACGGGCCGTCACAGTGGCTCTGCGCCAGAAACATCAACAAATAAATAAATAACTAAAAAAAAATAAAAATAAAAACATTCTGGAATATCACCCCTCCACTCCCATTAACATCCCTCAGCTAGCAGCTGCGCTATCTACAGATTCCGTGTTTGTTGACTATCTCCCGTCAGGGCTCTCCCAAGGCTTCAGGGTAGGGGTCCTCCCATCTCCCACAGTGACTTTCGTAGCAAGAAACTTACAGTCAGCCGCTAAAGAACCCAACATAGTTTCCCAGCTCATCGACAAAGAACTTCTCAAAGGATATATAATCGGTCCTTTTAGCTCCTCCCCCTTCTCAGTGTTCCGTTCAAATCCCATCGGAATAGCCACACGTAAATAAAAGGCTGATTTTCGATCTGTCCGCTCCCTGCTCCGGCCCATTCTGCAGCGTCAATAGCATCATCCCTCCAGATCAGTTCTCCCTTCACCATGCCTCAGTGGATAATGCAATAAAGATGATCAAGTTCACAGGGCACGGAGCTCGGCTCTCCAAAGCAGACATTACCGATGCCTTCAAATCATCCCCATTCATCCGTCTCAGTGGAACTTGTTCGGTATTAAGTGGGAGTCCAAACTCTATCTTCGCGTTCGCCTGACCTTCGGGTGCAGAAGCAGCCCCTGCATCTTCAATTCCTTCTCGGAAGCGCTCTATTGGATCCTGCTGAACATCGTCAGAATCCCCTCCGTCCTTCACCTACCGGACGACTTCCTCCCCATAAACCCGCACAGGACAGCTCAGGGATCTCACTGGCCAAGCTTAAACACTGCTTCAGGAGTGAGGTGTCCCTCTCTCCAAAGAGAAAACGTTAGGTCCCGTCACACGCTTAGAGTTCTTAGGCATCATCCTCGACTCCATAGACATGAAGGCATCTCTCCCCTCAGACAAATCGCAGCGCATCCAGGACATCACCAAGTCATACTGCGAGCAACAAGTTATCACAAAACAACTGTCGCTCTCCCTTCTCGTACACCTCAACTTCGCCATGCACATCATCCCCCAGGGGCGCTCGTTCATCTCCCGCCTCCTGGACGCAGCATCAGCGGTCGACAACCTCCATGACTGCGTTTTCTTAGACGAAGGCTGCCGCTCAGACCTTCGGTTCTGGTCCCTCCTGCTCGCCCACTGGAACGGAATTACTTTATTCTACGATGGCCTCGTGCGTTCCTCTGACTCAATGAGGTCTTCACGGATGCCGCCCATCCATGGGTTTTGGGGGGTTTCTTCCAGGGAGAGTGGTTCGCAGGGTCATGGCCCCGTCAATTTCTACCTCAAGACGGTGGTCCACCTCCGCCTTCACAACCTTCATTCGTCCGGACATCAGCGCCGTACGGGCTTCCCAAAGATCTCTCAGACCCTAACTATGGTAGTTATACATATAACTGGTGGTGGCTCAAACACATTCACAAGTATACATGTCTCACTAAGGTTCCCGATATTCAAAACTGCATTCCTGTCCTAATTCCGCGGGCCCCGCCCACAGGGAATAATGTCTCGTCTCACGCCGCAACTACAGGTAACGGGCTTCATCTCCGGCACACATGTATTTCATTCCCAGGCCTTGCTCAAACGCATCAGTGTAAAATGTATTTCCTGCAGTCCGCGTGGACTCGGGCCACCGTACACTCCGGTGTCAGTTACAAAACAAAGGAAATAAAGAAAGAGTAAAGATATATATATATATATATATATATATATATATATATATATATAGCCTGCGAAGTCAGGCGTGGCGGAAGGCCACCGTACACTTCGGTGCCAGTTACAAAACAAAGGAAAAGAAATGAAGAGTAAAGAAAAATATATATATATATATATATATATATATATATATATATATATATATATATATATATATATATATATAGCCTGCGAAGTCAGGCGTGGCGGAAGGCCACCGTACACTTCGGTGTCGTAGCGGAAGGCTACCGTACACTTCGGTGTCAGTTACAAAACAAAGAGTAAAGAAAAAAAGATACATATATATATATAGCCTGCGAAGTCAGGCGTGGCGGAAGGCCACCGTACACTTCGGTGTCAGTTACAAAACAAAGGAAAGAGTAAAGAAAATATATATATATATAACCTGCGAAGTCAGGCGTGGCGGAAGGCCACCGTACACTTCGGTGTCAGTTACAAAACAAAGGAAAAAGAAATAAAGAAAAAATATATATATAGCCTGCGAAGTCAGGCGTGGCGGAAGGCCACCGTACACTTCGGTGTCGTAGCGGAAGGCTACCGTACACTTCGGTGTCAGTTACAAAACAAAGGAAAGAGTAAAGAAAAGATATATATATATATATAACCTGCGAAGTCAGGCGTGGCGGAAGGCCACCGTACACTTCGGTGTCAGTTACAAAACAAAGGAAAAAGAATAAAGAGATATATATATATATATATATATATATATATATAGCCTGCGAAGTCAGGCGTGGCGGAAGGCCACCGTACACTTCGGTGTCGTAGCGGAAGGCTACCGTACACTTCGGTGTCGTGGACGTTGGGCCACCGTTACAAAATGAAACCGCTCGCTCCTCGGCGTAGTCAAGCCCTGCTGGCCAGGCATGCGACCCGCAGGTCGTTTTCAGATAAGACCGGCACTGATTTCGGCAGTCAGAGTCTCAGCATGACCAGTAAGCTCCGGCAGTGATTCCGGCACAGTGTCGCTCATATACGTGTTAATCTATTATCTCTCCTCCCCAGATCACCAGTCACCCCACAAGGTAAGCAACTCAGTTCATCTCAGTATTCATACTTCACTGGTTTTGGGGATTTCATCGGAGCGGTGCTTTCCCTCCTGAATGATTATCCTGCAAACCGGGGGCCTAATCGCCAAACACCATTACATTCTCCTGTCGTACTATCATGGCAATCATTTCATTCATATGACGTGTAAACATGTAATTCTTACATCACGTCTCTCCGGGTTGAAATGAAAGCTTTAGCGCAAGTTCAATAAGGAAGACCTAACTCGAGTCACTCACACGTCACTCTATGGCTCCCTTCCCCCCTCATTAAATATGAGGGCGTCATGCCTCAGCAGCCAATCGCTGCACATGCTAAATGCCTTAAATACCTGCTCTTCCTCCCTGTCAGTTGTCATTGCAGATGATCACACGCAACCCGCCTCCACCCCTCTCGCCTCCCGTCTCCTTCAGGACAAAGCTAAACCTTCCTCCTTCAGACTGGTCTCACCTACTCATCACCACCACCAGTGTCTAGACCCCGGGGATTTCATCGGAGCGGTGCTTTCCCTCCTGAATGATTATCCTGCAAACCGGGGGCCTAATCGCCAAACACCATTACATTTTCCTGTCGTACTATCATGGCAATCATTTCATTCATATGACGTGTAAACAATAAATATGTAATTCTTACATCACGTCTCTCTGGGTTGAACTACAAATCTTTCAGCTTTGAAATTAGGCCTTTGATTTGTAATTCATCCTGTTTGGAGAGAAATTTGTTGTTTTATAACTATGATCGATTATATTCTGACATTTAATAGACAACTTGATTGATGAAAATAAACAATAGTTGTGGCCCAGCCCAGTCGTAGTTTCTGAAATGACAGCTCAGCTAAACTTCCAATGTGTGGAAATAGACTATCCCTGTAAGCGATCATGTTCTCGTGTCAGACAGAACTCTAACATTTAACATAAACAGTGTGCTGCATTGTATTAACCAGTAGTGGTAAGATGTGTTTAATAGGGGCTTGTAGTGTTTAAAAGTGAAATGTAGCTACTTAGCCATCTGCAATTCCTTAAAAATATCCAATCTTAGCAGTTTATAATTAGAGCTTCTGTAAAACTGATCCTCTAAATAACCTTGTCCCTGGCCCAAACCCATTCCCCGGAATTAGCACTTGGGCTCTCCCAACATCTAAAAAAACTCTGACATACACACATGCACGCTCAAGATGCATGTGTGCACAAATGGAGGAATGTTGTGACAAGTATAGGAAGCTGAAAATGATGACATAATTTATATAAGTAAAGCTACACCTTTTAAGGACATATACTGTAGTACATTTAGTCCAAAAAAAAACATGATATAGCAAACTTGTTGTGTTATAAATTGTTTTGTACAAATTAAACAAACAAGATATGTGAATAAGTGTAAATGAGTGAACGTATACAAAACTCACCCTAGCTTGTCTTGTTTTGTTTTGGTGTTTATGGGGCTGACATCAAGTCTGAGCTACTATTATAATCTGCACTGAGGCCTCGTCCCACGTTCAACAAGGTGAAATTATTTGTATGCAGTAAGACAGATTCCTCACCCATAATAGATTGTGACATCTATTTTGTGATAGCTGCAACAGTGTTAATGGATTGGATACACACGTGCACAGTGTTTAGAAGCCATAGTAAAGCCTGTATTATGTAGAAACAGCCAAGCAAATGTACTGTTGTTACTTTATCCGTTTAACAGATTTCTTTGAGACTCTAGAACTTGAATGTGAGTTGCTATCTCGAGACTCACCACAAACCTCTTCAGAAACTCACGGGAAGCCTCCAGATCCACGTTGCATATCTCCACAAAATCTCCCAGCATGCCCTCCTCCGAGGCGGGGACGTCCTCGTAGAACTGCTGAGATCTGTAGTAAAACTGTTTCTCTCCTTTGATGATCTCACAGGTGACTGGAAACAGCTTCACTGTTAGGACACATGGACAGACAAAGAGAAGAGAGGCTGGATTCATATAATGAACAATGAAAAACCTTTCAGACAGATTCTAAATACTGGTATGTTAGGTGACTTTTTAAAGAGTAAATCAAATCCAGGAGGAAAATGAAAATGTGGTTTAATTTAGTCAGAAATGTGCTTGTTGCACATGTAAACAGCAGTGATGTCATGTTGTCCTAGAGTACACCCTTACATCCAACCCAGTCTCACGGCATTTCGTTTACGAAATGTAATCTATTGATTCGTGTTCACCAACACGATTTTCCCCTTTTTTCGTGTCACACAGAACGATTTTAAAAGCAATGTATTTATTATTATTATTTATTATTATTTATTGTTATTTATATTGGTAGTATGTTTCGTGCCAGTGTTACAGTATAACTAGAGTCATGACAACTGGCGTCATTCTATTATTTTAGACAGATGTATCGGGGGCGTGTACATTGAGGACCCATTGTTCACTTACCAGGAAATAAACATTTCGATGGCCTCGTCTGTCGTTTACATTCATCTTTTGCTATATCTGCCCCCATAGGATCACTTTGATGCACATTCAGTACTCGTATGTGAGGTTATGGGTCAGAGGTGGATATCGTGAGTGACGATTACAGGGAGGTATCGAAAATTACAAAGTAGGTGACTGTGTGGATGCCTGTTCAAAACATTGCAAACTTGAATAAATCATTTAAATGATATGTTTGTGTCCGACTTTCATACATCGTTCTTAATGTGATGTATAGTAGCTTTGATAGCTGTCCATACCGTCAGACAGCCTAAAAGTAAAACACAAGTTGTTTATTCACAGCCCGAACGCAGCATTGAGATGACTAGATCATGTGTGACAAGTTGTGATCAGCTCCGATTAAATTGTGATATAAGTTCTGTAGCTCGTTAATCAAATGTCATGCTCCAACAAATCTTTTAGTGTAAACCAGACTCAGGGACCACAGAACTTAACTATCATGAAAGGTAAGGTAGGATAACAAAATAGTACATTTACTGTTATATAACTCTATAGTTTAATGTTTCCAAAAAAAGTTGGACGTGACACTTTGCTGTTCACGATCTCAAAGGAAATGTAGAATGATAATTTGATTATCACAGACTATACATAAGGACATGCTGCACTTGTCTTCCACTCAGCTGTTACATGATATAAAATAACAAGCTGGCTGATTAATCTCCGATTGTTATGCATTTACACACTTTTAAATGGCAGAGAGTTTATATTTCTGTGAACCTAAAAGGAGTTTACATTCCATTTAAGTAGCCTATGTGTACTACAACACTTCTCTATTATAATATGGTGTCAATGACTACTGTGACATTAAAAGATTTAACAACTTCTTACACTATCCCAACCCTTCACTGCCTCAGTTCTGCAGATCTGAAATAAATCCAACAGAATGAACGCAGCATTTCCAAAGGCTTAAATTACACGTTCCTGGCGTAGAGGGGTGGAAGGTGGCGGTCAAGGGGGAATGTCAGTGCTCTTGTCAATTATCTCCAGTGGCTGAATTCATGACACCAAAGTGAAACATTAAGAGGGGGAACTCAGTTTCTAGCTGGACTTCCTCCACCATGCTAGAAACATCAAGATGGAGCAGGGAGCCTCAAAGGGGACTGAATCGTTCAGCACCTGGAAGTCAGGCTGACAACAAGGTGTAGAAACAGACAGTTCATGCCATGACTTTCCTGGCGAGTGCCCATTGAGATGTTTGAGGATTTAGTCTCTGACATTAGGTGTGATTGCATGTCATGAGACACCTCAGGAAGTCTAGCAGTGGAAGGGTAATTATAGAAACATTAAGACCAAGAAGGGGGAAACCAGAGTGATGACATTCACGTCTGCCAAGGAAGTGTCAATCCAGTGCCACCATGTTCTTTTATCTCACACCTTTAAAGTGGACCAGCTAATTAGAAGATGAGACTCACTTTTGACCTTAGATCAGAACAAGACATTAGATTAAAAGATACAGGGGTCTAATTTCCAGTAATTAAGGCCTAAATGTAACCCCAACGACATACCCTTTAACTTGTGTTCAATATAGCTAATTTAGGTTCACTACTTTTGCTTGACATGTTTTGCATGAAGACATAAGAAAGCTGAAATAAATATGTCTTTCAGTGCATCTAAAGCTGTTGCGGTTGTGAGTAAATAATCCCACTGCAACTGTCATGTATAGCACTGACTGACATGAGTTAGAGCTTTAATGCTTGGCATTCCATGCCATTAATGGTCTTTGTATCAAGTGAGTGGTAAGAAAATAAGAAGTCTTTGAGACAGAATGGCCAACTGGTCAGGATCTCCTATTTCTGCAGCCTAAGAACTCAAGATGGACAAATGCATAGTCGGCAAAGGATTAGGTTTGACCTACTTACGAAGGAGTGTTTGTTATAATATATGCGCACCAATATGTTTTGAATCCCCTGTTGTATTGAGGTTTGTCTTTTTCCTTCAATAAAGGCCGATTTTACAGCAGCACCCCAGTTAATTCCAGTTTTTTAGAGGCATTATTGTGCACCTGACACTGAACCCGTTTTATTTTAAAATCTGCACACATCTTGATGCTAAGCTTACAATTTATTTTACCAATGACTGCTTGTTTTTATATTCTTATTCAACTGTTGCTCAGAGGCATATTTGTCTCTTTTGCCTTTAATTGTCAGTCTGGTAGAACCATTGTACAATACAGCACATCCTTCTCCACAGTGGCGACTCGTCATTAGGGGCAGGCGCAGCCCCACCTACTGTCAGCAGAAAGTAATTAAAATAATAATTCCTAAAATATGTATAAAATATGTTAAAATATATTTTAAGATCATGTTTAGTCGTCTGATTCGTCTCTACATTTCTGCTTCGGACTGCGTTCTTCCGATTAGTGTCCACAGTGTGCCTATTGAGCCGTGTTGAGCGATGTGGGGCAAGCTCTGATCTAGCCCCTCTCTCTGCTGTCAAAATGAATGGGTGCTGTAAAAACGACACTGCGCATACTCAGAGTCTTTTTGTATTCAATGTGTGCGGCAAAAAAAATCACAAGTGGGGCTAAGTGCTCGCAACCCCATCAAAACGTCATCTCATAATTCAGAGCTGATTGGCTGTAAGTACGTGTGCCGCGAAAAGTGTAGTTGTGAAGAGGAGACGAGAGAGAGCAGCGTATAGCGATTAAAATCAGTACAACAGAAAGAAAATGAATGAAGTTGACCATCTACTTCAGCTTTGGTAAGTGCATTTTATGTCATATATTTTGTTGATCTTCTGTGTTTTGCGTATAGGCTATTGCTCTGCTCGATCGATTGATATTGTGACCTCGGTGATGAGTGTCTGTGTTTTCCTTATTTTTACAGTCTATGGTGTTTTAATGCTGAAGCATTATGCTTGTTGTTATTGTTAAGTATTGCTTTGTGATGGTTTACTCCATGTTCTAAGGTGCATTACAATATGACATCCCCACGCTGTGTACGTAAATGTATGCGCTGACAGTGTTGCTCCGTGTTCGTCATTCAAGGCTTCTGACAGTATGTCATTTGCAGTGTTGTGCTAGTTACTGAAAACCAGTAACTAGTTACCATTACTAGTTACTTCATTTCAAAAGTAACTCCGTTACTTTACTAGTTACTTACACAAAAAAGTAATGCGTTACTGTGAAAAGGGGCTCCCATTAATGCCCTTATAGCCTTCATTTCAGTACTGTTATTGCATTGGAGAATAATACAATCTGTTGATCAACTTGACATGCATTATATGCAATCTGGATTGCATCGATATTAGCATGGCTTTCAATTTTTGTATATTCTTTATCCAGGTAGTTGGAAAAAGTTTTCCGTCCCATATGCCGTGTGCCGCCCGGACATGGTATCATGCTAACTAGCTCCCTGAAAGCGGGTGACTCCATTGTAGCAATAGCCTGCATGTGTTCTACAACATACCGTGCAATGGCTTTATCGACGTTTCCCTGGCTAGCAGTCCCTTGGTTAAAATCCAGCCGCTGTTGCTTAGGTGGAGGTGGAGTGGCGTCGGCTGAGTCTCTGTGGTCTTAGCTACTAGCTTCGTCCCAGCATGTTGTTTTTGCAGATGTTTTAAGAGATTTGAATGACTGGTTTGGGCAGTAGATAGGATCTTTGACCCGCCAAGACACAACTTACATTTAACTAAAACGTTATTTTCTTTGTGCTCGACAAAAGTGAAATAGTGAGAATATCTCCAGGTGGAGAAACTAGACTTGACTCCGCCGCCGCCATGATAGTCTTGTTAGTAAACAACACAAACACGCCCACAGCCCGTCTCCGCATGTGACACAGGAAGTATCTAAGTACATTTACTCAAGTACTGTACTCAAGTACAGTTCTCATCTCTGTTCGCCTGGCTGTTGACTATATATATAAAAAACTAACGCAGTAACGGAGTAACGCACCATGTAGTAACTGTAACTGAGTTACTGAATCTAAAAGGTAATGCGGTAGAGTACTAGTTACTGCCAAAAATAACGGCGTTACAGTAACGCGTAGTCCCAACACTGGTCATTTGACACTCCCCCCCCCTCTTTCTATCTTAACCATGGATAGCTACAGCTATTTGTTTAAAAAAGCTTAAAAAAGCACCAGAAGCTTATATATAAAATATCTAAGTTGTTCGTGCCCCACCACTTTTGTACATATAAAAACGCCACTGCTTCTCCATGATCAAAAGCAAGAAAGACCAGTCAAGTATGCAAAAGCCGTCTGACTGAAACCAACCATGCTCTTGTGATAAACAACTTTTAGATGGTATTGCTTGTTATACAGCATGCATTCACTAGCAAATGCTGTAAAATATGATTTCTCCTGGTGCACTTCAAGGTAGGAGCAAAAAAACATGCAGTATAAAGAATACAGTAATGAACAAATACAACTCAGCAACGCATCAGACATTACAGTCATTGTGTGATACACAACCTCTGTTACTAGATTTTGTTTCTCATTTAGTGGGAATGCTGACACAGCATTCCAACTATCTGTTATGCTACGCACGAAATTCTTTATTATTCCGCCGGGTTATTTTGCGCTGCTTCTTCCCCCACATTGAACATCGCAGAAACTCCGTTCAAACATCAAAACGTTCAGCTCGGTCGGGAATCAATGGCTATTACTTTTATCATTCATAACTTTCATAATTCCAGAGATACATCCCATAATACATCCCATTTTTAACATGGAAGTCAATGGAGAACTCTTCAGACTTCAACAATCTTCATGCAACTTCAACTGCTAACTGCTCCTTCTTCAACTGCTAACTGTTCATTCATACTTTCACTCAGAAACCTCATTCCAACTTTAAAATGTCACACATCTTTCTGACATTATTCGTGTAACACAACTTTTAAATAATCTGATGCATACTTTTAGAGATATCAAACATTGTTCAGACCTTGGTAAAGAGGCCTTCTTCAGATTTTAGAGTGCGTTTTGCCTTCATATTTTCTTTAAACCTGCCATAATTCCCAAACCCTACATTCCTGAGACATAATTTTTCATGACAAACATAGGAAAACATCTCGTAGCTTGAAAGATAAAACAAAAAAATTAAGCAAAATAATTAAACAAAATGCCTCTTGAGGGCATGAAGTGACAAAAACTTTCAACATGTCTCCATTAAACTCCATTGTAAATTCAGCCTCACCTTTCCCCACCACAGCAGCCGCACACCTTTAGTTAATCTGCCAAAAAGGCCACATTATTAACCCGAAAGTACACAAAAAGTACACTTCAGATGCTCATGTTCCTTGACATGCTTCACGCTTTGAAATTTCACCGATATCTGTTACGGTTCTTCAACAAAACGTTCACATGTAACAGGTTTATCTCTCATTCAGAACAATAAAAAAGCTCTCCTCTCACTGATCACCATGGAGACCTTTGATCTCTGGACACGTCGTTAGCTCAAATATAAACACCTGTGTCATGGAACACGATGATGTCATAACTCCAACTGACATGCTCAGAGCAGCAGACTTCAGATAGTGGTTAATGGTCCTGCCCTCAACAGCTCTAAGTCAATTATGGGGTGTCATCATATGCCGTTTCCATGGAATCCCTCGCCATAAAACACGATGTCGGTGTAGCTCCAATGGACACAGTCCGGTCGTCTCACAATCTTCACCTGTATATCACCTCTCTATGCCTCAACAGCTCTACGTCAAATCTGACATCTCACCATATGCCGTTTCCATAAAACATGATGTTGTCGTAACGTCTATGAAAAGGGTCAAAACAGCACCACACTTCAGATAATGGTTAACGGTCCTGCCCTCAACAGCTCTATGTCAATTATGGGGTTTCATCATATGCCGTTTCCATGGAAACGCATCCCTCGCCATAAAAGACGATGTCGCTATAACTCCTATGAAAATGTTCAAAAAGTGCTCAAACTTCACATGTGTGCTAACAGTCCAGCCTTGAAGACATCTACGGGACAGTTTTGAGATTTCTTCAAATGCCATTGCCATGGCAACACAATGCTCGCCATGAAACACGGTTTTCTCATAACTTCAGTGAAAATGCTCCAAATGGCCCAAAACTTCACAGGTTTGGTAATGATGCAGCCATCAACGCATCTAAGCGTATTATGGGATGTCATCAAATGCCGTTGGCATGGCGACAGATCATTCACCATCAAATTAGTTCAAAAGTTTGCAGTTCAAATATTCTGCTGCTTTTCCAAGCCTTTTTACTTTCTTTTCTTCTCTCATCACTAGGGTTGGGTACCGAGAACCGGTTCCAGTTCGGAACCGGTTCCAACATTTTGATTCCAACGGCATCATTTAGACATGTGAATTTCAGTTCCGCTTTTCGATGCCTGAGGAAATGTTTCTCGCCGCTCTCCGTAGCCTACTGTATGACTGCGGCGGGGCTGGAAATGTAGCGTTGTACCTACACTTCCTACAGCGTAACCATGTTCGCCTAGGGCGCCATATCTGTGGAGGCGCTGCGCTGACAGCTCTGGGAGAAAAAAAAAATTTTTTTGACCGTTGGTGCTCATCCTAATTTTCGGCCTTGATGTAACAACATTCATAATTAAGTAAATGTAACACCCTTTTCACCCCGGTTACACTTTTCATTTGCCCTGTACGATGGGCGCTGTAAGAGATGAAAATGGGGGATGTTGGCTTATCTGGCACCCGCAGCTCACAGCCAAAGTGCGAGTGAGCGTGGGAGCGAGCGAGGGAGAAAGGGAGGGTGCACCGGTACGCGCTGTTGTAACTTGTTATTAGCATCTGGTGCTAGCTGCTCTAATGGAAGAAGAAGATGTTTCTACAATGATGTGGAGGGAGAGTTCTCTCCAGTCAGACTGAGAGGCTCAGTGAGGTAAAGGACTCTGAGTGTTTAGATAGTTCACTTTAGTCTAAGTTATATCAGTGGGTCTCAAACGTTTTGATCACAATTTATGTAAACACATATTTCCAAGGCACTCCTTTATAATTATTGGGATAAAACAGGTTTGAAATCATTCCAATGTATACTATAGGACAGTAAACCAGACATATCGTTTTAAACTGGAGAGATAAAAACATATGCATAAATAAAATAGTAAAATAAAATATGAATGAACAACAAAAATAAAATACGTTACATGTATTTGTTATTGGCTATGGTAGGTTATTGGTTATGTTCACATACTTATTTAATTATTAAAATGTAAACCGATCTTTTTCATATGGGTGTTTAGAGTTGTACCCCCTAGATCTAGTCTCTAGTAATTCTGCTTAAAGTGCACCAGATTGAAGCATTTTACTTTAAAATGTTCAAACATTTCTTCCCGGTATGCCTGAGAAGGCAGATATGCTTGTTTTTCTCAACAAGAACTGTTCTTTAAAAGTTGGACTGTTGCACTGTTGTAGCTTCAGTGGTTCTCAGGTTACAGTTACATAGCAGTGAATATAAACAGACTGATTAATGTGAATATTACTGTAAACTAACCTGTGTAAAAGTTTCTCGAATAAATGTCATTTTTTGTTGGAAGAAGCATTTATCATTTTTTTTTACCCCTCAAAGAATCGGAATTGAGAACCGTTAAGAACCGGAATCGAAAAGTAGAATCGGAATCGGAATCAGAATCGTGGAAATTCAAACGATACCCAACCCTACTCATCACACATTCAAGCCCCCAGTGTTCATGTATCATTTCAATCTAAATTCTTCACTTTCTTCTTGCACATTACATTTCAGCATAGCAGTTTAGCGTTAGCTTTTCAGCATAAAGCATTCCCACTAGCAATTTCTTCAGGAATTGCATTCTCTAGTTGTATTTTATTCTACATGAAACACTCTGGTTCTGCCAACAGGTCCTTCAAAGCTTAGTAATAAGCATGTGGTGTCTCATTTATATAAACAGAGTTGTGCTATCAGGAGGAGTTACATGCTGGAAGTATTGTTTGACAGTTTGCTCAGTGAAAGTGTGCAGCTTCCTAATGTCTTGTCATCAGAGAAGTAGCCAGCTTTGGAACCTTGGAGTGCAGAACCCAAAATATGTGATCACTGACCATAACAGCACCATAGTTGAAGAACTAGATGGAAAGATACAATGTCGTTCATTAACTAAGAGTAAAATGTTTATTTTGTCAAACTTTGTTGTCCTTGTTTTGAGCTATATGTCTATTCGTAAGTACATTTTGAGCAAAGAAACACTGGAATGAATTGCTTGCATTACTCAGTCAATAAAGCTGATGATGGGTATGGTCTGTAGCATGTCAGAAGAGATTATAGGTTGGCTATTCCAGTGATTTATTAGTGTAGGAAACCCCTACACTCATAATCAGTCCCTATGTTTTATGGTAACCATTGATTTCCATTTTTTCTACAATATGTAAATCAACTTCAGACAGGTGATTTTTTTCAGTGTACATCTGGTCTGATTTGATTTGTCTCAATCTTTGTGGCATAAAGCATCTTTGAGCATTTGGGAAAACACTATAAAAATTCCATGTTTTATTATTATTATTATTGTTATAAATGGAGTACACAGCTTTCCAATCAGGAACCCACTTTTTAAATGCATTACCTTGTGATGAATATGTGATTTGACTCATTTGAAACAATTTGTTTCCTGAAATACAAGTTTAAAGCCAACATATATCCTTGTGAAGGAACACTTTTGAGAAACTGTATTACTTTTACTGCATATGATTTACTTACAATGTATCAATACAATGTAAAGTGAATTGTATTCAACCAAAACATGCAAAACCTCTGGCATGCTCGTTCAGCCTTGCACGATCCTAAATGGAGTCAAGGGAGAAGTAAAGGATGTACAGTAGATCTTGACTGTTTGACTGTGAAGCTGGTGAGTGGTTGAACCTTTGTGTGGCCTTTCTTCTTACCAACAGGAATCTTCTCCATCAGGTACAGGTAGCTGGCAAAGAACTCACTCCTCAGCGAGTGGTGCAAGTGGAAGGACATGCTGTGGCGACACATGGTTTCATCCGTCTCTTTCCAGCGATCCCTGAATGCCTGGTGAGCGGCCTTGTACTCGAATGAGCCCGTATCTTCCTCTACAACTGCAGACTCCATTTTGGCTGGATGTGGCCTTGCAGCACCTCACAGAGCGGTACTGTTATCCAGAAGGTGCTTGACTTGGCAATGGTAGAGACTGTGTGTTTCAGTGCCCGTTTGCGACTCTGTTTCTTCAGCTGCTGCTATATCTGTCTAGCTGAGTGTTCAACACGTCTCTGCCAGCCTTCAAGTGATCGGCAGAGATCTTTTTCACGGGGCGGTGCTCAGGAAGCCCTGCCACATTTACAGATCACCTGCTAGGGACACTGACTGAGTACAAGTTGGGGAGGGGGGGCATGGGGGATCTCCTGTCACATTTTCAGTCTCAGGACAAACAGAGGCGACTGAATTTCAGGCTTCAAATTCCACCCGCACATGAGAGTTCATACAAGGCCTTGTTGCCATGTAATGTGGTCATAAAATTAGCAGCGTCTTCTCATGTTTGTATTAGGGCTGTCAGTCGATTAAAATAGTTAATCGCGATTAATCGCAAATTAATCGCACATTTTTTATCTGTTCTAAATGTACCTTAGAGGAATATTTTTCAAGTTTTTAATACTCTTATCAACATATGAGTGGACAAATATGCTTTATGCTAATGTTTATTATCATTTGAACAATGACAAAAATCCTCATGAATATTAAACACAACAACCTCTGAACATTACAAATATTCGCCTCAATTCAACCTGGAACCTCTCTCATCAATAATACAATACAAATGGTGTGTGTGTGTGTGTGTGTGTGTGTGTGTGTGTGTGTGTGTGTGTGTGTGTGTGTGTGTGTGTGTGTGTGTGTGTGTGTGTGTGGTGTGTGTGTGTGTGTGTGTGTGTGTGTATGTATACATGTACATTTACCATTTGTTCTGTGAGAGCATGCAGCCCACTTGCCAACTGTTGTAATTGGACAATTCTGTTAAACTAGACTTTGGCAACGTTTCCCAATGTTTACTGCCAATTTTCGAAAATAAATTATTCCTGCAAGGTGTGGTTATCATAAAGCAGACCACTTTATTAAAGCCCAACTAATCAAATATTTTATTCTAGCAACAATTCTTTATGAACAAAATAACTGTGGGTTATGTGAAAGAAAATCACTCATGTTATTGTCGACCAGGTCTGATGACTGCATTGTCAATCACGTTATTAGAAAAACATATTTTCTCCAGGATTTTGGTCAGAGTTTGGTCCCGTTAACGTAGTAATATTAGACAAAACAAAAAAAATATGGAACATAACGTCTTAGTTTTAGTAAAGCAACACAACTTCTCTATTAGGTTTGGTTAAAGATCATGGTTTGGCTTACAATAAGTTAAAATCAGTCAACGTTGACTTTTGGTTAAACACAGGACATGGAAAGTACTGTAGTCTTCTGGATTAAAGTCCAATGTTTATTTATCCCATCCATCCACAACCTACTCATTATGCAGACTTTTGCAGACTATGATTAGAAAAGTATTTGTGTGATGGATCGTTGGAGCTATGTGCAACTCCAGGCATATGCTCGAACGGGAGCTGCCTGGACGCTGCAATCATGTTGCGCACTATCCGTGCTGAGTGTGCTGACTTTTCGTACAATGTCCCACTGTCTGGCTTCCTGCATAAAGTCAAGTGCTCGGCGCAGTTGTGGCGAAATGTCGCTCCTCTGTTTTCATTTAAACAGCTCCATATCCGTTAGCGCAGCTAGCTAGCACCAGATGCTAACAACAACAATGCACGTAAGGTCTCTCTCTCGCTCGCTCGGGCCACACATACACACACCCTCCCGGTCCTCCCAATAGCCAGTCGGTGCCTGCCGGTGAGCGTGGAAGTGTGGTCTGCCACAAGCGGGCGGCAGGAGCGGGGCTGTCAGCATCAGCTTGTAGATGGTATTTTAAACTCGATGCGCTCTGAAACTACGGGGCGGCCAAGGAAAAAAAAATACACATGCGTTAATCACGTTAAAATAATTAGTGGCGTTAATTTTTTTTTTGCGTTAACGCGTTATTAACGCGTTAACTTGACAACCCTAGTTTGTATACATAATGGCTCCTGTGTTGTCCTATGTCTTAGTACTTTTTCATAAACCAAAGAAGTACAGAGAGTACACCGTGGGCTCCAAGTCAGTTTATTCTTTTGGTACACAGACAAAACTCAACGTGTCATTTTCCCACCCATTTATATTAATAATGTAGAATGAAGACATTTTGGTTGGTTAGTACAAAAATGCACTTAAATAGGTTGTGGTTCATTTTCTAATCCAAGCAAAGACCGGTAGCCAAACATATTTCTAAGTTGTAGGGAGTTAAGTGCTGATGTGGGACAAAACTTTAGTTTTGCAACTCTCAACTTAAATGTAATAGGTAAAAGCTAAATGATCAGCATTATTACATGGGGCTCAGGCTCTACCAGGTAAGCTCCTACATTTTTGTAATTTCTAAATTGAATATTTTTAATATTGAGTCTTTACATTTGAACATCCAATCCCAATTGTTTGTTCAATGTAATTGGTTAATGAAACATTAGTGCAATTAAGCTTCTTTGCTACATTTTGGTCAAGCTTCACAGTCACGACAAACTCTTATACTTTGCAGAACTGGTGTTTGTTTTTTTTCTTTACAAATGGTTGCAATCTTTCATCTCAACACTTCTAAACATCTAAATGTGTCTCAGTGGTTTAAATAGCCGTTTGTGGTTCCCATTGACTTAACATACAAATGTACAGCTTTACAGATGAGGTATTTAAACCACAATGACTGCAGGTGTCTGTTTTGCAGAGTAGGAAAGGGGTTCTCTAAAATTGTGTGCATATTTTCTATAGATGAAAAACAAGCTATTTACATTGAAGCACATTAAGTCACTAGGGAATACTATATATTTTTAACCCCTAACACAAATACTCAGATATATACATCACTAGTAGCCAGAGACTAATTATAGTGCGGTGACATCAGCTGTCACTGGTGCAGAGACAAGCAAATACTTTCTGGAGAGCAGATGTCCCATGTGTTACAGTATTAATTACACCTACTCACCATTTGTTTAATTCTTACTTGTAACTTTGATTAAATAGATGGATGGCATGAAAAATACTTCCCTTAAAAACAATGGCTTGTCTTATTACAAAGTATTATTAGCAAGTAAACAAATCTGCAAAGCAGAAAACATCAACTTGCATGAATTTTCAACTTTGATATCTTCTTCTTTTTTCTTTTATATTAAGTTATGATCCGCCTTATTCTTTCTTCAATCCAGATACTGACACTTTATTTTGTAAAATGTTCAAATAATTTAATTGCATTGTATTGAATACAACTTTTCTTGTTTGAATAAAACAAATGTTTAGGATTCAATAGGCCAAAAGACTTAACAAAATAGCTGCGAAGAAAATGACTTTTGCAACCTCCTCCAGTTCATACAATCTTCTGGGGAATGTCTCAAAAACCAAAACCTAAAGTAGACATGAACATGGCAGTATACACTTATATAATGGATAAAGTCAACCAATTTGACAATAATCCACTTGATAGACTGAAGATATTTAACACAAAGTATTAATAGTCAAAGGAAAGTTAAAACCAATATCACGTTTCCTAACACACCCTAAATTCACAGATCCTTTTTTTACATTACGTTAGGCTATGTTTGGAGATATTAATCCAGATTTACCCTGGTGGTCTGTCACTTCAGCCTGAAACAACATCATCCATCATATTGGCAGATAAACTCCTTTAAGACAGATTTTTCAATATTCTTTATAAGTTAGTTACGCATAGAAAATGAAAATGCATGTTTAATAATCTACACGTCTGGGTTTAAAACTTTTATTTCAGATATTGTGCATGGCACTGTTACTCTCACTATTGAACAGAACAGAGACATCATTCATGTTATTAGTAACACATGTGCTTCTCCTAATGTGACCAGTAAAATGTCTGCTGTGAAATTGTAATAGTTTTGGTAATCCTCTGACTGAACATTCAGTATATTTAAGTTGAAAAGTAAAGTAGGTAAAATCAGGAAAATATAAGAAAAATACAAATTGATAAATGTCCGAGGCTGTGAGTGTAATAATGTAACATGTGCAATCGTTTGATTATTATTATCACTCATGTATTCATGTGAAAGCAAGATTAAATGATGTAGTTGGTAGTTGTGTAACTTGTGAGATTCTCACTAATGATTTTTTTAATTGAGTATTGAATATGTTGTCCATTAATTGAATAATTGGTTTGTAAAAAATAATGAATGTTCAATATAAACCAGAGCCTGAAAACCTCTTCAACACCGCACCCCCGATACCGGGGGAAAAATGCGTCATCTGCAGGAAACAGTGTCTGAGGGCATCTTAATATTCAATAAACTATGAATGTTTTATATCCATGTAACGGGAAGAAACTCAGCTAACTGATCATTTTTATTTATTTTTTCAAAAAAAAACACAAAGCTAGCGCTGAGTCTATGAATTAGCCACGAGCGAAAAATGCTAACGGGGTGTTGCACAGAAACTCACTCATAACACCCTTATTACTTATCGTAGCTGCACGCTCAACCCATCGATTCACATCGTGAGATGACACAAAATCGATCGGTACATACATCATCACTCCATGATAAGAACTCGCAAAGTTATTAATAAGAATAGACATCAAAACATGTGACGCTAGGTAGCTAAAACGGCAACATGGCTCACCTTGGTCGTTGTCTGGTCAAAAGTGGTCTTCAATGGCATTACAACAATAAAAACGCTGCTGAAGTTAATCCATAGGTTAATCCAATGTGTCTGTGTCCCTTTGAAATGATTTCTGATAATCCATAAGCAATAAACCCGCTTTTCCGTTTCCAGATGTCAGAGCGAGAGATAGGTTCACTCTGATGCAAACCTGCATGCGCAAAGCCCCACCTTTTTTTTTTACCATGTGTGTGTATGGGGAAATTCCCCTTCGATTCTATTGGCTCTAACGGTCAAAAAGAGATGCTAATCACCAACATCGACCAATGGGTTCCAGAGAAACGGTAAAAACGGCCATTTCCACCCAAATCACCTCAGAGGTGGAGTTCTTTTTGCTAAACCTCTCTAAAAAGGTCAAATGTCACTTGTTTTGCATCAATCTTGATACAGGGTACTTATTATATGTTGTACTTTGGATTCCTAAAGCTTTTAGTCTACCTTACCATCATCCAAGGGTAGTTTTCACTATAAGTAAAAAAGAATTTTTGGACGGACACTATAATTTACAGTTTTTTACTATGTTCAATCTGAATTTTCTTTAAAATAAAAAACATCTATATTGATTCTGACTTTTCTACATCCAACTCACAGGTTTATCATTACTTTGAGAAAAAAGAATATTAATTTAACCCTTTTAGAAGGGAAGATATGGTCATTTGTTCTGGGAATGTCATTTTCGAGCCTGAGACCTGAAAAACAGGCTCAGGGCTTAACAGGTTCAAATGTGCTAGGTGACTAGAAGGAAAGTCAATTTTCTCATTGAGATGCTATCACTTTTTTTTGCAATATTTTTTCAACATATTGTTTCAAGTCTAAAACGTTCATGTTTTATTTTTTTAAATCTTAATGCATTTTGAATACAAAAATCTAAACGTGTAAAGTAATTTAAGGAGTCATATACCTTTTTTCATAGTCTGGCTTTTACGTACACTATTTCCCTCTCTGTAGAAGTAAAAATTGGTTTATAGAAGATACTTAAGTAAAGTACCCCAATGTTCTCGTTTGACAGTAGGCCTATTTGAGTAAATTTAGCATTTCATACTTTACACACGTAATTATTTTTCGCTTGGTCCTCCTTGTCTACAGGTGGCAGCAGTGCTAGCCTGCTGTAGCTACAGTGCATACTGGGAGCTGGGTCGCCGCCCTAGCAACAAGCTGCATAGATAAAACATCCGCCCTGTTTTACCCATCATCAGCGGGTCCCGTTTAGGAATAAGGATATTTTAACGTGAGCTTTTCCCCCTTTTTTAAATGGACAGTTTGCAAACAGGGGATCCACGGTATCTGAAAAGGTAACGGCTGCTAACGCTAGCTTGTTTAAGTTTACACCGTGAGGTCGATGAGGCAGCAGGATGCTCAGCTGTTCAGTGATAGCCTAACGGGACATTTAAATGAGTGACTGCTAAACTAACTCTGTTACAAATATTCGTGTTACAAATATGAATGTATTTCTGTGCAAGAACAGAAGTAACAACACTACAGTTAGCATCATATTAGTAGGATCTGTCTGAGGGTGTGTACGTAAAGAAAAATCGATTAAACGTGACGTAACGTTATCAATGAAAAAACCTGCAGCCACCATCGAAATTAGTAACTAAACTAATGACAACGATTCAGGTTTATTAAACAATACTGTCTTGCTTGTTTGTTTGTGTTTACACTCCTACAAAAATACTCTAATGTGTATGTTCAGAGGAAGATGGTGAATTCATCTGAAATATGTGTGAAAATTAACTAAATTACATTTAGTATTAAAACTGCGTATCATCTAACGTTTGAAAGTACTTGTAATTAGCTCAGGTAATTGCATATCGGTTGGTACATTTTATATTTTAGGGTTAACTACATTGTTTTCCAACTTTAGCCACAATATTATTTTAGATATTAATTAATTCTACCAAAATAAGCCACACATTCATCAGCTGCAAAATGTTTATGATAAATATGTCATTAAAGTCCCAAATAGTTTATGTTTTTAAAAACCCTTCTGATGATTCTGACATCATCTGGTTAGCTCTTCTTAATCATGACCCTGACACAAAGGATAAACGAGTATTCAAAGAAGCAGAGTATCTCTCATGATGCTTGCCTCCTTGTTTAGCTGAAGGGAGATGAAAGGGTTAAACACAGTGAGGACTGGCAAATGTCTTCACAACTGTATGCAAACGCATCGTACACAATTTCTCAAACACATACCATTTATCGAGTACACAGATGTACATCTGCTATATTTAGCCTATAAGCAATATTAATGTATTTTATATTACTGTGCTATACTGTTGGAATAAATATTTGAGTTTAGCTTACTTTGTGTCTTTATGACCAACAGGAAAGTGAAGGGCTGTACTCTCGATGTACACCCCACTGAGAGGGCTCTTATCGTTCAATATGAGGTGGAGGCCACTGTCCTGGGAGAGCTGGGGATCCCAATGGTTGGAGAACGCAAAGAGTGTCAGAAAATGTGAGAATCAAACTTAAGACAAATTATGATTGTGTGTCAAACAATATCAATCTGATTCTGTATCATGATTTCAATTTCTTCTATAAGTCTGAGAGCCAGTGTTATTCTCAAAAGCTGTAATTTCCCTTGATCTATGTTTGTGCTCCCTACAGTATTCGTCTGAAAAGCCTGAACGCCCACACAGATACGGCCTCTTTGGCCCGAAAGGTCGTGGAGGAATGTCGACTGATTCACTCTTCCAAACTCCTCGAGGTGGAGCAGCTACTCTTTTATTTGCAAAACCGAAAACCGTCAAATGGTATTTATAATCACTACTTTATAACAACATAGATGTGTCTGTAGTAACACAACTTTTCTTAGTAAAAAGTAAACGTGGAAGTAATTTGTCTTTGTGATGCTGAATTGAACCTTTCACAGACAACCAAGAGAAGAAACACATCTCATCTCGAGAGCTCAAACCTTACACAGGAGTGGAGGTAGAAGCTAAGCTTTACAGTACAATATGTTTGTGCAAACAGTTCTGAAGACATTTGCCAGTCCTCACTATGTTTAACCCTTTCATCCCCCTTAAGCTGGACGAGGAGGCAAGCATCAACAGCATCGATGAGTATGTGGAGCTGCTGTATGAAGACATCCAGGAGAAGATCAGAGGAGCCACCCTCATCTTCCAACTAGCTCGAAACCCAGACAACCTGGAGGAACTCATACAGAACGGTACATTGAATATAAAAGTACATTTACAGCATGTTGTCCATATTTACATTTAATCTGTCAAATGGTCAAGTAACTTAGGTTGACACACCATGTCTGGTACATTCCAGCTTTGTTTCAGATTTGAATCATCTAAAGTGTGGCGTTGCTTTGTTCACAGTATGGCGACAAAGCTAGCCATTTCCAATAGAAACTGATGACATGAGTCGACAAATTGATGTGCAACCTTTGTCACTACAAATTATAGTTGAGCTGGTCTCACACTTTTTTTCAGCGTCCAATGATGCGGTGAAGTGTCAACCAATCATAGTCTTTTGTTTCACAATTTTGGACTTCCCATTGTTTTTTTTTTACGCCATAACACTTTAACAGCAAAAATGTATAGCTAGCCACCCTGTTTTTTACTTTGCTTCTTTTAGTGGCAACAATAATAATAATAATAATTTATTAAATTTTTATTAGAGCGCTTTTCCAGGTGCTCAAAGCGCTTTACACAACATATTACACATATTAGACATGTAACAGTTATTACTGTGGACAATACCCACAGGAGCAAATTAGGGTGAAGTGTCTTGCCCATGGACACAACGGCCTAGTAGTAGAAGTAGTGGCAGTACTCAAGTATAATTCAGGTCTCGGGTATTGTTTAGGCAGTGGTATCAAAACATTTCCAACAAGACCAAGTTCTACTGGCATATTGATCACTTCAGGGTACAGAGAGCACAAAATAAAAGATAAATAAAAGATATTTCATGAAATGTAACTTTCCTCTTAATAAAAGGATTCACATTTTACTAAGTATTATGTGAACAATTTCTAAATAACAATATCAAGTTTTAACATGAATGTGGTCGCGAAGGTCAGCAACGGTCAGCAACGGTCAGCAATATGTTGTTATAAGCAGACCCCAAATGTAGTATAAATAGATCCGCCTCTGCGTCCGCTGTCCATTTTGTACTATTTCTGTCCCTTTACATACTGAAGCTGTTTGACAACACTTTTGTGAAGCACATGCAGGGAAAGGCATGTGAATGGCCTTCGTCTGTTTCTGGCCATCCAGTGACTGTTGGTATGATGACTATCTGTGTGACATCTGAGCAGACTCCATCTCCAGAGGAAGATCTTGAAATGTGGTTGACAGCTCTAAAAAAGTCAAGGATGAACTTTGATGCTCAATTATTCAGAACGTGTTCATTTTCTGAAAATAAACTTTTCCTGGCAAAGTGGATCCAATGGCTAAAGTTGAAAGTGCAGCCATATTCCAAATTCTCAAGCTAAAACTGGATTTTTTTACAAAAACGTTTTGTTTTGATAGAGTATTGCTTGAGTGTCTGACTTGTATCAGCATGTCCTCTCTGCTCCCCTTTTAAAGAAAACAAAGCTCAGCTTCACTTCTGCTCCCTTCCCGTGACAACCGGGCTGTTTCTCTCACAACAGCACGAAGCCATCATCCTGTGCTGCCTCGGTGAGATGGCACAGCTTCATTTGTATCTGTCATAACGCGTCGTCTGCTCACTCTGTCTGCCGCACCGCATCAACCGGTCCAATGTTGATAATAGCAGAGTGTTCGTGTGAACCCAGAGGAATGGGGTCAGGGTGGAAAGCGGAGACAAACCTTGGGACGCACGTCTTTAGGTTGAGAAGCACCCATCGCTCAAAATCCTCAGGAGCCTCCGACCTCATCGCATTCCCCCACGCTTCTTCAAATGAACCTCCAGCTGCACCGCCCTCTGCGCAATCTGACTCTGATTGAATTCCACATACAGACACTTTTGTTTTACTTTCTCATCTGTAGTCATTCCTTATTATCTTGCCTTCTCTTTGTTTGACCTTTTCTTAATTTCTGTGTCTTTATTGACATGTTTTTGTTCGCCATCGTCAGAGGCGGCCATTGGAGCCCTGGCCAGAGTATTGAGGGAGGACTGGAAGCAGAGCGTGGACCTGGCAACCACCATCATCTATGTCTTTTTTCTTGCTTCTCCAGGTAAACCTGCTGTTCTATAAAAACCCAAAGTTTCTGCTTCTGATTTATTTATATTGGGTGTTTGTGATCGCTTTATGTGTTATTTTTTTATGTGTTGATTTTGTTTGCATACAAAGACCTTGACATATCCAAATGTGCTATACCAACAGAGTGCTGCAGTCCTTAAACTTGGAAATGAGTTGGACATTTTTGCACTGCCTGTTTCCTCAATGTTAGTAAAAAAGAAATTGTTACATCCCTGTGGTCAAAACAAGCTTAACATATTCTATATCTAAATAACTACACTGATTGCATTTGCACCTCAAACTTGTGCTAGCACCATAAACTATCATTCCAATTTTCAAAAATGTATTTAAATAATCTTGGTTATTTTTTAAAAAGGGAACCAGCGTCATGCTAACTTTCTGGTTAACATGCAAAAGTACTTAACCCCTAAATCCTTCCATATTTGTTGAGTTGGTATTAAACGCAACATGGCTGTGGATTTTGAGGATGCCAGTTTAAAGTATTGCCTTACACATTTAAGTCGTTTAAAACTTAATTTATCGTCTTCAATGTTTCATGGTTGCATGGGTCTGCATTATGTACATGTATTCATTAACCCATGCCCACTGCCAAAGACTTTTACTGTCAGGGACAGACGACCAATGTAGTACAAACAGAACCGTGTGCTTGTAAACGTGCACTTTAATACTTTGTGATCCGGCTCACAGTTGTTGATCCAGTTCATCCCAAAGGTGTTGGAAGGGTTCAAGTCGGACAGTCCAGACACTCGAAAAAAAAATGCAAGGGCTGCATTTTCATGTAAACAGTAAAGGGACTAGTATTAAGAATTCCCTGTCATTGGGACCAAGAAGCTGAAACAAGGAACATAAGCTTAAATCAACAGAACACAACTTCACATTCTTTTGTATTTGCAGCACAAAGCCAGTAAACCAGAATAAGGCAGTTAAACATTTTTAAGAGCCATATGGTTGCCTCCTTGTGTGCAGTAATGATACATTTCTGTTGTAACATCAACTGACCGCACACCCCAATTGCCTCTGCGCTCCTTTCTTTTTGTATACTGCTCTCCCTCTTTCTTACAGTAGTCCATCCACATTTTGGCAGCATACCTAGTACTGAAGTTTCACTCTCCAACTGGGGGTTAGGAAACACTAAAATTAGCCCCTTGCTAGAATAATACATAAATGTCTGTCAGAGCTGATTTAGGGGCAGCGAGAGGGACGTGTTCTTCTGAAAACTGATCGTCACTCTTGGCTCCTTTCCATCTCCACGTTATGCTGTTTGGATTGTGGAACTGTTCAAGTTGGACTGATTATAAGTCGGACCAGGACGTACTGTTTGACTGAATGTGTTTTGACTTTGACAGTTTACTTTGTAAACTACTTCAGGGGTGACGGATTGGGTCATTTAGTGACAGCTCCCAGCTGGAATCCTCAAATCATTGTGGATTTTTTTCAGTTTTTAAAAACAATTTTGGATAATGGTATTTTCTCTTTCTCTCCAATCTTATTTTTTCTCCTCTAGTTTCTCCCAGTTCCATGGCCTGGTCACACATTTCAAGATCGGAGCCCTGTGTATGAATATTATTGAGCATGAGCTGAAGAGATACGACCTCTGGCAAGACGAACTACAGAAGAAGAAAAAGGCCTATATCCTTTTTAAGAGTCATACAAGTGGAACATCTTTTTTATTTGAAAGCCATTCTATAACAAATCCAATACAAATATAAAATATGTTTTTTAAATGGAACTCAAGCTAGGCACAATACTAAACCTGGAGACATTTGTAATGGTGCAGTATAAGATGACACTGTTTAAGGCTTTTTGTATAAAATGTAGTTCCTTGACTTATAACACATGAAGAATTCTCTGAGAACCAACATCTGAAAAAGGAACATGAGAAGTCTTTTAGAAAGTACCAGAGCCTTCTGGTCAAACAAGAGCATCTTCTCAGAGGTAACTGTTGAAACGTTTTGTTCAATGTATCTATCTCATACTGTAGTTATCAGAACATGTTTGTTTATGGAACACTTCTAGAATATGTATGTTCAATGCACTTGTGCAGGTTTAACAAACCATTTGATGTGAAAATGTTACCTGATGTGCATTATTGATTCATTCATTTATTAAGCAGATCAAGAAGAATGGTTGTTTCAAACTTCTCCAATTTCACAATTGCTGCTTTCTTCTGTTATTTTTATTTTTTTTTAAGAGATAGACAAAAACAACGTGTTCACCATTGATAGAAAACGGCTGACTAATGAAAATATCAATTAAAAAATGTTTTGTCGAGGACTCAAGAGGCACACTTAAACTAAAATAGATATAACTGGTGATATAACAAGAAAACACAGCCAGGGAGTATAAGTGAGTTGCAGCTAGATTACTGCCCATGTTTCCCTGCCTGATCCTGTGGTCTCTGACACGTTTCCTCCTGCAGTTGCTCTGGGCCTGCTGCTGAACCTGGCTGAAGACACCCGCACAGAGCTGAAGATGAGGAATAAAAACATCGTCCACATGCTGGTGAAGATCCTGGACCGGGAGGACGAGGAGCTGCTGTTGGTGGTTGTCTCCTTCCTCAAGAAGCTCTCCATCTTCCTGGAGAACAAGAATGATATGGTGAGACAGGGAGTTATTTTTTTGTTAAAGGTCCCATGTCGTGCTTTTCCTGTTATCACCCGTCCCCTTGTGAGTTATGTAGCTTTTCTGCATGTAAACGGTCTGCAGAGTCACAAACCCTCAAAGTACACCCTGTAGCGAGTAAAACTCTAACACAGAAAAGACCTGTCTATGCTGCCCCAGAACGCCTCGTTGGACATTTCTCTTTTTCCATTGTTTACTTCTTGGGTTCTGTGACGTATTTCGGGTATAGTGACCTAACGTAGCGTAAGGGCGTTACGTTTGATTAAGATATATAGTAGCTTTATTAAGTGTCACCTATAGAGTGCTTCAGGCATGATGTATTTCTCTAAGCTGACTTGGAATTTTCCATTGCCTTGTCTCCCTCGACAGAAAGCCAAAGGGATATTTCATTTGGATTTCAGATTATTGTAGAAAGTAACTTCTGTGGTAAACAAAATGTTTTGATGGTTACCCGATTGGTTTGGGGAGACATATTTACTCCACTTCAGTGGTGGTGTTTAATAATTATAATTTGTTTGTGTCGACTTCAAGGATCTAGATTTTTTTCATGTTGCTTTGATTCATTGTTATGTCAAACATGACATGTACAGTATCATGGATTTTGAAAGTAATTTAATTCATTAATCTAAAAAAAGGATTCATCTTAAATAAATATTTCTAAAGGCTTAAAACTACTAAAACATAGGCAGTAGGATTATTTTAATCATGCATTTTTAAATCTCAAAATATATATTTTTAAATAAACACCTCTCACATTACAGTATATTTTTTACTTTAATTATGAGTGGCTTTAAAACGTCTTATAATATTATGTCTAGAACTGAGAGAACCATGTATGATTATAACAAAACATTTGAATCTAACTTTTAATAATGATTTCAGTGTCTGCGGTGGCAGCCCTGCAGAACTGTTCATTGTTTGAAATGAAGGGCGTCAGTGTGCCGTTTTGACTTTTTACCAACTAATCTTCTTTCTATACATCTCTTTTTTGAGACATTTAACTCAATTAGTAAAGTTAAGAGGAAACAATCTTTCTTTATTTGTTCTGTAAAAAACTCCCAAAGACACTTTGACAAATGGCCTTCCCCCAGAAGAAATGCCGGTTGAAACCACGCTTATCAAATTTCAATTTAATAAATGCTTAGAACGTCCGCTTTTGGCCACGTGTCCCCCAGCGCTCGTACAGGCACCTCAGCGCTCCGACTTTCCCCTAATCCAGCCCCACCTGGTTCCAATCTCACTCAGTTTGCAGGACGTTATCAAAGCCAGACCCTGGTAGGAACTGGTTTTATCTCCTTGTTTCCCCCTCAGTGTATCTTTTGATTCAGAATTAAAGAACCCTTCAGGGGTTTGGACCCACTCAAGCAGGGAAATAGTGGTTTCAACACTTTCACTCTGTTGAGTATATCAGTTTACACAAGGGGAAATATGTTTCCATTTAAAGACATGGGTGTTTAATTGATTAAATTAAAGAGTGATCACTTAATTATGCTGTATGTCATCAGCTTTTATTTACTCAAATGTTTTGTGACTTTCTCCAAATCAGATATGTCTCCCAAAACAGTGTGATGAGTTTATGTTGCTGTCGCTGTCACTAATGGAAGGGGAATGTCAGTGGTAATTGACGCAGGCTGCAGTTGATTATGCTGCTCAAGGTCTGGTTTGTGATGGTGCGACTGGAGCTGGTTTTGCGCACAGTAGCAGCGAGTGCGTTTTAACTGGGAGCAGGTTGCGTCACTGTGATATCTGGATGTGGAGGGACCACAGCAGAGGGGAGACGGGCATGTTAACAAGCGGCACCGGCTGACGAGCACTGCTGCATCACTCTGACAGTCATATTGACAGCATGCATTCCAAACAACACCACGCTGTGCACCTTTTCACACATCAGAGTTCCTCTACAGAGTCGCTGGGGCGTGACTTTGTGTTTTTAGTCTTAGTTCTGTGTCATCAGCTCAACACCTCCACCTGCCTGTATATCATGTGAACCTTGTCCAAGCTTGTCACCAGGTTATTAGAAAAGTAAAGGCAAGATATCAATATGTTATGCACATGTTTACTAATGTTATTTTCATCATATTTCAAATAAATCATGACGTTCCTGTATTTAATGCAGGCGTGTTAATGGGTGGCAGGTCTGAACAGTTAAGACCGACAAATAATGTAAAAACAATTTTAACTTTTTGAGGAATAATTGAATGCAAACGTTCTGCCCATGTATATTTTAAGTCTGCAAAAAATAGATAACCAAATTATCTTTTTATTATTCTCTTCAAACGTCATCTTTTAAGCATTTCAGCTGTAGAAATGTCATCCATTATGGTCTTTTCTTTTGTGGGAAATACTGTTTTTAACTGCTTAAAACAAAATTAAGTATGCTTGATAATATTAGTGGTTTTAGATCTATAAAAAATATGTTCCGATATTCCAATAAAAAAAAATTAAAAAATGTTGTTCTCACACTGCTCACACATGTACAAAACATTTTCCAAATATTAATAGAAATGCATGGTGGCAACTTGTTTGTGCTTCCCCAAGCTGTTGCACGACTCATATACTGGCCTATCGACTGCTAGTATTATGCATTATTACAGGTGCCAGTTCTCGTCTGGAGCAGAACCTCAAAGTCTTTGTTTCACTTGTCTGCAGGCTGAAACGTTTGCCGTGGAGAAGCTTGGTCGGCTGGTTCCCTGCGAGCACGAGGAGCTCCTGAGCACCAACCTACGCCTCCTGCTCAACCTCTCCTTCGACACGACGCTGCGCAGCCACATGGTCCAGGCAGGACTCCTTCCCAGATTCTCGTCACTGCTCGGTAATACGTCTTACTGTTTACTGATGACTGTTTGTATTCCTGTAGTTGTGTTTATGCTGGTTCATTGTGTGTATTTATCTGTGTGTTTATGACTGAGGCTGTCCTGTCTGTATTTGCATCAGGGGAATCATTATTTCAGGTTTTCACTCCTCAAAACAGACACATGACAAAGAAACACTCATCCATCCTCAGCCGGCGGTGGAGCCTCTAATCTGTTATTACTGCGGCGTACTTGCAGGTGCCGCTTTTACACAGCACCCAGGCCTCTGGTGGCCATTACAGCAGTGACCTACTGAAATCGGCAGAGCGTGCGATCGTGCGTTGTCTCATCTGCAAGGTCGTGTGACACAGTCAGAATCATATCTGACGGGCCTTTTGAAGCCTCTCAGGGGGAGGCTCGGGTAACGGCGCATAATTAATGTAATATATTTGTTAGAATAACATGCCAGAGCCTCTGCACAAATGTTGTTTTTGCAGGAGCGAGCCGGAGAGGTGGAGAGGTCTTCAGAGATTTAGGGAAGGAGGGCTGTTTTTTTGGAAGTGGAGGGGTGGGGGCTGCTCATACAGGAAGCAAGGCACACACATAATATAAGTTAACAGTGAAATATTACGCCTGCTCACAGTTTTGACACTGTTGAGTTTGCCTGTATTTGTGTGTTTGCGTATGTGTGTAATGCCCTCTGTATGTGAGCCGATGCGTCATTAATCATCTGCTTCACTGCCGACTGTCCTACTTTTCAACTGACACACTCTACGCATGAGGACTTTGGTCTTATCTCTAGGAGAGAAGACAGGGGGGGGGGGGCGTGTTTATCAGCCTCCACCCTCGCCATCCAGACCTGACCCCAGGTCAGGACCCCTGATGATGAGATGAAAGTGGAGCGGGAGCCTCCACTTGTCATCATCACCATCATCACATCCCAGTAGATCCATCCCATCAACACTTGAGCTCAACTTAAAGTAGAAGATTCCTCCTTGTAATCGTTTGATTAATGTTTACAGAAAGGGCAGAAATAATGAATTGGTTAGTTAATTAACAGAACTATATTAAAAAAATTAAAAAATAGTTCAAGTAATTTGGAAGGAAAAATTCCAAAGATTGGTTTTGGGCAGTTGGTCTGGCGAGAAAAAAGGCACTTTGACTCGATGGCTTTTTTGCGTCAGCATAGCTCATTTTGTGTCCATTCATGGCCCAAGTCTGAAGATTTCTTGTAAATATCCGTGCGTAGCTTTCACTCATACACATATGATAAAACCCTGTTCAATCTTTGAGTACAGGGGCCGTCAAGCAGGACAATGATGCCACGTTGACTGTACGCACGGACCGAAAAGAGCTGTCTGCATCCGTATGTCCAAAATACCGCCTGTAATATAATTAAAACATTTCTTTACCTCTTAACCCTTTAATACTTAATCAGATTATCTTTTTTCCCTTGTTGTGTTCCACTATTAAAGACTAAAGAATTAATTTACAATTAAATAGGTGATAGATTAATTAGCAGATTAGTAAATGATCAGGAAAAGAACATTAGTATATGATAATTAAATTAGTTGGACATGAAGATGTATCGGCATCAAGTTTTGCCAGACATTCTCATTCTTTTCAAATGCGCTGCAGAGTATATATATATGTTTTGCGCAAAACTAAATCCATTTTTTTAAATCTGTTAATCAGCCAAAAGTATTATTAATAATGAAACACAATCATTTGCAGCAGCCTTATTTACAGAATTGCCACTCACTCCAAACTTCTTTAACTCTTTTAATGCAGCATGTTGACCTTCATTACATTGCAAAAACAAATTAGGCAAATGAAGTGAGGGTGGGGTCCAATTTTTAAGAGCATTTCACCCCCATCATGTGGTGTGTGATGTCTCCAAAGACCCAACCCAGCTTGCTTGTTTATCCAGAAAATGCAATAACAACAGAGTGGCGCTGTCCACAAAAGCTCGCCCAGACGCCTCCTAATGTGTGCGGGTGTAATTTTACGAAGTTTGGGGCGGTTTTAAATCAGGCTGGGGTGTAATTGGAGATTAGCTAGCCCACTAACTGCCCCTGAACAGTCTAGTTAATTCTTAACAGCTCCCCTTCACCTTTTTTTTCTCTCTTGCCCCAACCCTACCAGTGTTTTGAACATTTAATGGGATCTCTCTCCTCGCCCAGAAAGGATCCTCCATGTTCTTACCAGCAGAGTGAGTCGGCAAGGTCTGCAGGAGCTTATTGCCTCCGTGTGTGAGCGCTTGGTTGTTTTCATGTGCATTTTAAGGTATCGGCTGAGGTAAAGGATCGCTAATGAGAAGCACGTGTTCTGGCCAATCGCTGGCCGCGCTGGAAGTTCCAGAGCAGCAAGCGGCGTAGCTTAAACTTATTAAAGGCAGTAAAATTGATGCTTCCTCCTGTTTTCCCAATTAAATCTAGAAGCCGTCTCTCCCTCCTGTGATTCCAGGGCTTCACTGAGCACATCTGGATCTTATACTTGGCGATAAGGCTCCCTGTATGGCCAGTGACCGAACACGGCTGGGACCAGTTTTAACTGGACCTTGTCGGGCTTCTGGAGGCTGGTGGGCATTACAGGAGGTCTGTCGGTGGTTCAGCTCCAGTGAAGAGCCTCTCTCTTAACACTTCTCTTAATGAAAAGTTCCCGGGTCAAACTCTGGTCTGAACTCTGTTAATTCTCCCGGGCTGGCTCCTCCTCCAGCTCCCCCCCAGCTCTGGTCAGAGGTCAAACTCATGAAAGTCTTGGGCTCACTGACAGTCTAACACTCAATCCATTCTGCCTTTATCTCCTCCACGTTGCTGTAGAGGCCTGATAAGCTCACAAAACTGTAGTTCCAGAGTGTAATACATTTATTAAACATATATTTATGGATCAGTACAATAAATGAAATTAAGCAGTATCTATCTATGCAAATGGTTTTGGTTTTATTTATCTTGATTTCAAGATAACTGACTCTCTACTCTCTACTAACACTACAATGCAATGGAGGCGAATGGAAATCATACCTTTATCATTGCCAGTAGGTACGAATGGCTTCTATAGATGCTTTAAATAATAAATATCTACATCTCAACCAATTGAAATACCTTCATTGTCATGCCTGTATTTAGTGTCATTTTCAATTATGTTTAGTGTGCTATTCATAGCTACATATAAGGAATGAAATATAAGTTCAACAATACCCAATTCCAAGTACAAGTTAGAAAAAGGATACATATGCATGACATCGCCATGACACCTTGTGTGCATAGTCTAGGTGTCTTTAATTGTGAAACTGAGAATCAGTGATGTATTGAAATAAATAGATCGACTGTATGCTGAGCAAAAGGTGTTGATTTTGGAGGATTTGAGCTTGTTCCACTACCTCCAAGTAGCAAAGACATTATTAATGCAACGTGATGTGTCTACACGAACACTGTCCCAGTCTCTCTCTGGAGAATCAACAGACCTGACTGTCCATAGTTTTCATTGGAACTACTTTCTGCTGTAGAAATGGTCCCTGTGTAAACTGTCCTCAGTAAGGTCTGTGGAGTATCCTAACACCAGTCACTATTTCTGGAGGGAGAAGAGATGTTTTTTAAATAAGGCTGGCATCCTTCTATATGTTTTCTATTCAAATCCCATGTATAGAACCAAACCAAAAAACATGTTAGTCCGTCTCCCAATGCTCTTTCAACTACCGTCTGTGGCCCTCAGCTGTAAGCTACTGTTTTTTAACTGAAGATGTATATCTTATATTCTCACAAATATAGTCTTCCTTCTTTATGAGGCTTAATACAAAAAATACGCATTTGTTAATGGTAATCAAGGAAAAATGTCTCCCAGTGCAACAATGTGGCTCATTGAGGTCTTTAAAAACATTCTGCACAACAGTGGACCTCTATAGCACAGACGAAGAAGATATATCAGGCTTTGATAGACAATACCTTTTAGTAGATGCATTCCATTTTGGTGTGGCTCCAAATGTTTTGAGAAAAGGGAAATAAAATATATTGCCAGACTTATCCCTAGCTGCTGTGTGTAGCAGAAATTAAATTCCATTTCCCCTGATTTTGACAGACATCTGGATATCTCAAAACCTGAATAACGTATTTTAGTACAACTGTCCCTTTGAGCAGCATGAAAAGCTTGCCTCTTCTGCAGTAGCCTGCTGAAGATCCTCATGTAACCTTTTAAATATTGTTTTTCCTCTGCTTAGCTGCCTGGGAGGCACGACAAATTGAGAAACTGCAGCCGACTGGTGCTGATTCTGCACCAAATGCAATTTGACCTCCAACAGAATTCCCTTAAAAAGGCCATTCAGCTCATTAATATTTTCAAAAAACACATAGCTCTCCTAGTTGTGGTCATTGGCATCCCACGAAGCGTAAAGGCACAACCAGTCATTCACCCATTGACTTTTCTCCTCCTCCTGTGTTTATGTTGCAGCTGACGAGGGCCAGAGACAGCTCAGCATGTGCATTCTGTACCACATCAGCATGGACGACAGATTCAAGTCCATGTTTGCCGACACAGACTGCATACCGCAGGTAAGACTGGCTAATGTACACTGCCAGCAGACCAAGACAGACACATTAGCATGGGCAGCTAACGGCACCCGGGAATGAATGCATGACAAACAGAGTGAAGGGAGGGACCCGTGCCACATCTGGAACCAAAACCGCTGCTGCACAGTCTTTGCTCGCACTGCAATGAAAACCTGCAAACCTCCTCATTTCATTTCATCCTTTTCTGTATCTCCTCCACATACCCTTAATTAGCATTGCCAAACTGGTCCATCAACAAACAATCAGCACTGTTATGTCCAAAATGATTTGGAGTTATGATCAGTAAAATTAAGTTCACAGCTAAAGTTCAACACGCCTCAGGCGTGTTTCTTTCAACTTTCGATCACAACATTTTTGTTGAGTTACACTCCCTCCTGATTGAGTTGACCCGGTCAGTCGCTCCTCTCATCATCGGCGATTAGCTAAATGTGCGTTGTGTTTGTTTGTTGAGATTGGGTGTAAATGCGGGCCAGATGTGGTCGGGAGAGTCGGCTGTTTGTTCAGAAGGTCACGTCAGCAGCAGATCTGAACCCCAGGCTCCCCCCGTGGTAGAAAGGATGCGGGGCAAGCAGCATGACCAGGATGTGACCTCCGACCCCGCTCGAGGCCCGCTCACTCTCACCTCACCACCCTCCTCTACCTCCATTTCTCTAATGTTATCAATCCATCTTTTGCTCAGAGCAAAATGTGAAGCTGCATGTTGTTCTCTCCTTTTTTACCTTCAATCCACCAACTGGAGAGGATAGAGAATCAATGACGGACACTGTTTGACAGAACAATTAAGAAGAACAAACTTCCTCTATTTGGGGAGTTGTATAACATCAGGAGGAGTTACATTGTACAGTTATATACATTCATTGTGAGTTTATCATAAAATATTGATATGATTTATTTGTGCAAAGTGCTTCAAAAACAGGATTTTACTGTGGTCAGAGGTTTTATGTCATGAAATCAGAAAAAAACCAAGTTGTTTAATCCAAAAAGAAGCCTGTGGATGCAGGTCTTTAAGTAAAACCACATGAAAACGCCATTGCAAAACCTAATATTCATACTTAAATCATTTATTAGAAAATGAGGTCAGTTTAGTGTGGACATAGTTTCAGTTTTTATCTTATTCAATATTATTTGTATCTTTATCCCAAATGCACCCCAATAATAGTGCAACTCTCCTCGTGTTCTTGTCACACATGATATCACAATATTCCTCCAACTGCCTTGTCTGTGAAAAAACGCATATATAACAAACAGCTTCACCCAGTTCCCCACTTTTTTTATCCTCTCACCTATTTAGTAGTTTTAAGACTCTTCTCTTGTATCGCTTTCCCAGGCTAGTGACTGACCTGCCCCTTTCCCCTTCTCCAGCTTTTAATGGGGTCACCGTTTGGTGCTGGATTTGGGGTTTCCAGATCGGGGATGTCAGGAGGGAGGAGAGGAGAGGAACAGAGGTGGAGGTGGAGGTGGAGGTGGGGGACGGAGGTGTGTGAGCTGGTCAGGCTGCAGCGTGGCGTTGGGCCCTGACTGGGCCTCCGGTGGCTGTCTGTGGTAAATAAGCAGAGGCAGGTGCCAGAGAGTCTAGACGAGGCTGATTTGGGGTCCGGGGCCCCTGGTATGTGATACCTTACCCAGGCCCGGCCCAGCCTTTCTCTCCCTCTCTCTCTGATTCCTGACTCCTCACAGGGAAGCAGTGCACCTCTGCCCCCCCACCCTCCCTCAGCTCAAAGCTCTTCCTGTTTAATGTTAAATCAGTGCAGGAGAGACGGACAGACAGAGGTAGGGAGGAGGAAGAGGAGGAGGAGGAGGAGGAGGAGGAGGAGGAGGAGGAGGAGGAGGAGGAGGGTATCAGGGAGGATAGAAATGACGCTTGCCTTTATCTCAAACACTCTCTTTCTGAATCACACTTATTTTATACCATAATTTTCTGTTTTATTTTCATCCCCCCTCCTCAGCTTCCTTTTCTCTCATTGGCTCCAACAGCAATGATTGGCTTTAACATAATCAAATAGACTTCAGGGATGTTCTTAAAAAATGTGAGGTTTTTCAAAATGACATATTACAACCAGGCACACAAACAAAGCCACAGACTGAAGAAGTTTTGTTTCTTTTTGGGAACCACCTTCCTATTCAAACAAACACTTATGTGTGTAGTTGATTTATTTATCCTAATTCTCAGCGACGATTGAATTAAGCTGTTAACTGACATTTGAAACTTGCAACTGACAGCTGATGAAGATGCTGTTTGACTGTGTGGAGAAGGAGATAGATGTGGAGCTCATCTCGCTCTGCATCAACCTGGCTGCTAACAAGAGTAATGCGCGTATCATCTGTGAAGGTATGAGCTCCAAAGAGACAATGAACACAATATATGGACCTTTTATTATACCGTATGTTGTTGGGTTATATTATGTGCTCTTTGTCCTTGCTTTCTTTCTCCTTGCTGCCCTAGGCAACGGTCTCAAGAGATTGATGAAGCGTGCTCTGAAGCTAAAGGATGTTCTGGTGATGAAGATGATCAGAAACCTTTCTCAGCACAACGGATCCACCAAGAGCCTCTTCCTGGTCAGTACCTGGTCTATTCAACTCAAAAACGTGTTTGCATCATGGTGGCCTAATGTCTATTTCGTTAACCCTTAGATGCATAAGTGGGTCTTGTTTGACCCGGTGAGTTGGTTTTCTTGAAGTATCTTTTGTCATTTCATATTCCAGCTATTCCTCAAAAAACATGTTTTGGATATCATGCCATTCAAATTTGAAATTTACATTTTAAGAAATTGTAGTTTTTGTATTACTACCCCAAGCTTCCATAAGTGGGTCAAAAATGACCCGCATGCATTTTCTATGGAATCCTATGCGAAAAAGTTTTTTTTCAAAATGTAAAAAAAAATGTTTAAAATTATAAATAGTGAAAAATTAAATATTAAATATTTCTAGTGTGAACCAAAATATAATACTAAATATTATACAAGTGATTTTTCTTAACCAAAATGACAAAAATGGCATAAAAACACATATTATTCTAATACGGGTCCTTTTTGACCCACTTATGGAAGAGTGTAGGGTCCAGTCACTCGTGCATCTAAGGGTTAAACACAAAATAGCAATTTCCTGGAGTAGCAGAAGAAATGTAGTGTACATCCATGGCTAGAGTACAAACAGGAATTGCTAGTAGTTTATACAGCATGACTTTTCATTGTTCAGAGTCAACAGATGATTGTTCAGAGTCAGCAGATGGTAAAGATCGGCAGGTCTCCCTTGTAAAAGAGATCGTTGATCTCAATGGGATTTGTTACCTGGATAAATAAAGGCTACAAACAAACAAAGAAATACATGCCCACACAGTGATTCCTCAGCAACATTACACTTTCTCTTCACACCACATAAAGAATCTGAGAAACCCTGATGTCAAAATCTCAAATGTTTGATTCAAACAGGAAAAGAAAATCAGGAGTGACAGGTTCCTTGAACCGCTATAACACAGACAGCGATCTATTCATATAGAGAGATTTACTGTGGGTCGAAAACATGTGGACATACACGGGGGAAAACCTTTTTGATGGTATATCTATCAAACGCACTACGCTCTGCATCAGCCAAACGACTCGCTGCGCCCTCGCTGCGAGGGGGACCCAAGTTCCCATCGGCGAAAACACGTGGGTTTGCTATCCTGGCTCCAAGATGGTGGAATGAGCTCCCCATTGACATCAGGACGGCAGATAGCTTGCACATCTTCCGGCGCAAACTGAAAACTCATCTCTTTCGACTCCACTTCGAGCGTTAGAACTATTAACGAAGCACTTTTATACTAATAAAGGACTGGATTACCTAAAGCCGGTTGAGTAGCACTTGAAATGTTTGGCTCTATGAAACCTGATGTACTTATATGATTCTGTTTTCTTCAAGGTTGTGTCTTCCTGGTCGAATGTACTTATTGTAAGTCGCTTTGGATAAAAGCGTCAGCTAAATGCAATGTAATAATAATGTAATATCTGAGTAGCCTACCATACTCTGCAAAAAATAATATATGGCATGCATAGCTGAAATGTGTAGCGACAATGCCATAAACATGTAAGGAATTTGTCAGAACAAATCTGTAACTGAATGCTGTTTTTTTTTTTTATTAGTCCATATATTATCCCTCATTTAAAGATAATATGTGTGTCTGCTTTTAGGACCATGTGGGTGACCTGGCAGCTCAGATCAGTGAGGAGGAGGCGGAGGAGTATGTGATCGAGTCTCTGGGTACGCTCGCCAATCTCACCATCCCCGACCTGGACTGGCAGCTTGTACTAAAGGAGTTCAACCTGGTGCCCTACCTGAAAGACAGACTGAAACCAGGTGTGTGTGAAATATTTCTTAAAGTTTGTGTTACATGGTGAAAATATTGCGATATATTTTATAAACACCAATGTAACAAAACACGCAGTAATGCATCCATACAGGAAGACCCTGCCAAATTTCTATCATCTATCTCCTTTTAAAACCAGAGGCCTGGTCTCTCTCTCTTAACCCTTTAATCAGTGAAGTGTCACTGATCATGAGGACAGAGAATACTCATTTAGGTCTGGGCCTTATCATTTAGGTCTGGACCTTTGATGACCACTGACCCCTCAAACCTCAGCTTCACTTTTTCTGGCTTTTATAAAAGCAGAATTAAAAGTCTTATGCAATTTCTTTAGGTCATTCAGCATGATAGTAAATGGTGAAGAATGACAGAAAAGTTGGGGAAATTAAAGGAGAAGGAACATCAATGTAGTTATGGCCTCAATTGTGTGAACGCTGATTCAACAGCAAGAACGAGAACCCTGGCATATTTCATATAAGATCCATGTTTGTTGTATGTTTTGATACTCGTGCCAATGCAGTACCAGAGTTTCAGCTCCCTTACAGTCACTTGACTTAGACTAGTTAGCCAGTAAATTCGTTTTTCTACATTCCATTCCAATGTTCTTGATTTGTTTTGTTTTTTTAACAGCCAATCAAATACTTGGCTAAATTTAGTCTAAAATCAACAAAGCTGTTCAAACTAACGTAGAGAACACTTTTATCCTAACCTGACATTCCTAACTGCCTTTAAATGGTCACAAAACCTGGTGCTAGGGCCATGTTAGGTCAATGCAAAAAGTATAAAGACATGCATTTTCCAGCATTTGAACTACCTACAGTATGTTGTAAATGTATTATCTTTTTAATTTACACACAACATCTATTACACGTCTGTCCGTCCTGGGAGAGGGATCCTCCTCTGTTGCTCTCACCGAGGTTTCTTCTGTTTTCCCCTTTAAACTGGGGGGTTTCTTTGAAAGTTCGTCCTTGTCCGATGTGAGGGTCCAAAGACAGAGGGTGTCTTATTCATATTCTGTATAAACTGTAAAGTCCACTGAGACAAATGTAAAATGTGTGATATTGGGCTTTATAAATAAACTTTGATTGATTGATTATAAAAGCAGTTTTCCAGACTGCATTAATATTAAGACAAAGCAGTCGAAAGAACTCCATCACCTCTGTGTGTTCAGAACCAAATGCTCGTTTTCCCTGGCTCAGCATTATTTGATTCTACTCGTTTTCAGAGGCCAAGTGTTTTCATTTCGTCCTCTCGACTTGTACTTTTCCCTGATGTCAGGGTCTGCTGAGGATGACCTCATTCTGGAGGTGGTGATCATGATCGGCACCGTCTCCATGGATGACTCGTGTGCAGCCATGCTGGCCAAGTCTGGCATCATTCCTGCTCTCATCGAGCTTCTAAATGGTAAGAACCAACTCTCATACTGCAGCTTTCCCAAGGATTATGAAATGTACCATGTAGTGTTTTTTTAATTAGCTTTTAATGCCACAGACTAAAAGTCAAGATCCATCCTCCTCGCCTACATGGATAATGACTGTTATTTAAATCTAAAAAATAAAATATCTGATTGGGGGAAAATCCTTCTGTCATCCACTTTGAAAATGAATCTTATTTTTCTTTTCCTTCTCTACCTGTTTCCATCTCAGCCCAACAGGAGGATGATGAGTTTGTGTGTCAGATTGTCTACGTTTTCTACCAGATGGTGTTCCACAAAGCTACCAGAGACGTCATAGTCAAAGACACGCGTATCCTTTTGCTTATTAAAGTATAAGTCCACATTTCTTACCCATTGAAAGAGATTTATGTTTAGAGATGCGAGACATCGACATGAATGCAATTAATAGATCTCTAACCAGTCATGGTCATACTGGCTGTATATTTCTCTCTCCAGAGTTACTATATTTTCATTCTTCTTTAGTGTGTGTGTCTGGGCCTTTAGTCCAAATGTTAACTCCCAGGACTGTACTGTATTTATCTCTCCTCGCTGTTTGTCCCCAGTTGCTTCTCCATTGCAACCTCTTTAACCCCTCGATTTAGTTGTTTTTAACCCTCTGGGCATTCTTAGCTGCCTGTAATTGTGCACAGTTGTGGTCGGCATTGGCGGTTTGTGTCAAATTACAAATATGCCCTCTGTCAGCACGATTGATGTTTTTCTTTCTGCGTGAAGAATAGAACAGGAATATCTTATGTAAGCACCGCTGTAGGAGGAAAGTGTTCACTTCATCACAGGAAATGCAGACAGTGGTTCCTCCAGCCGCAGGGCACCTGTCTCCAGTCTCTGTCATTACATCAAAGCGTAGGAGAGGACCACAATACCACCACATCCCACCATTCCCCCTGCGATTGATTAGGGACACACAAGTGATTGTTTCAATGTCCCAGAGCAGAGAAAATGTTTTCTTTCTTTGAGTCCTAATCTCAGAAGCCCCTGCATACCTCATCGACCTGATGCACGACAGCAACACAGAGATCCGCAAAGTCTGCGACAACACGCTGGATATCATCGCTGTGAGTACACATGTCTTATGAACATCGTTTTTACACTCCATTTGATAACTTGGTTCCAAGGTCACAAGACTAGGAATAAGGAGTTTAACATAATCATTTTTCCCAATGTTTTTTTTTAACACTTATAACGGTAATATTTGACGTTTTATTTTGAGATAGTATGGCTTACTTTATACTTATGACGGTAGGGAAAAAAAAATTGGACACAAATATTCAACATTATAAAATCAAGAAAGCCAACGGGAATTTGGTTTTAAGTGTGTGTTTTAAGGAATTGCACTCATTTGGGTTCTGTTAAGGAAGAGCAACCACAGCAACGTGTTTGTTTGGTGAACCCAGGTTTTAGCTAAAATAGGAATATTCACAAAATCAACAAAAAATAATCATGATGTTGAAGGTTTTAAAACAAGATTTTGACACTTCCACCAAGGGTCTGAATTTAAATAATAAAGCAGAGCCACTAACACAATTAGATGGGTCAAACTACAACAAACCGAGTCCCACAAACTAATGCTTTTGTGGGTCTGTGGCTTTATTCAGCTCAGTTCCATACAAACATCAAACATTTTGATCTTTTCCAAAGTCCTTACTTTTTACTGATGTGCCCGAGTCAAATTTGACTTTGGCAATTAACAAACCGATAAACTCCTGAATCACCTTGTGACTGACAGGTGTGGTCAGCTCCCAGTCAGTGAGTGATCGCTGCCAGACCTCAGATCAGCGTAATTAGCTGTAGATTACAGCCAGGGAGTGCAGCGGGGCAAAGGAAGTGTTTCATTGAAATTATCAGTGAGACCTATTAAGCCGTGAGCCACATGAAAGGCAGCTCTGGAGTGTGTCAGCAACTGGACAGCAGAGGTGAGAGAGAAAACAGAAACAGAGCTGCGGACACACACATACACACACACACACACACACACACACACACACACACACACACACACGCACACACACATACACAATCATTAGGGGATCCTTTTGGCAGCACACGCCATAATGCTGCAGTCCTGAAATGTTCGGTCTTTGATCATCATGGCCCTGATCATGTACAAACACACACGTGGCTTCAGGAAGAACTTTGTAGAGGTTCCAAGTAGGACAGAGGCTTAATTCACTGTGATTTATTCTTAGCCCGGCCACATTTCCAGAGGAATATGTTGAAAAGCTTCCAAAACTCTTGTGCATTTCCTCGCCCCGCTGTGATGAGCTCATGCTGTGATGAGCTCAGCTGCTAACAACTGATTAGGCATATTTAACCAATAGAAAAACATGATTGTTCAGTGAAAAACATGAGTCATAATGCTTTTTCAGCCCCTGCTGACAAACTGTCCCACTGTCACCTCCAGTGTTTTGGGTGAGGTGGCCCTCTGTGACAGTCAATAGGCCTGTATGAGTCTGGGGTCTCTGCTGGCTGTCAGTACCCGCGGGGCTCTGCTTTGCATCCGAATGATTAATCTTTCGGGCTGGTTCGTTGCGGTCTCAAAGGCAGCCTTTATCTCTCCCCCTTCAGCCCCCGCAGAGAAAAGAAAACAGAACTCTGTGGTCGTCTCCGCCGGGCTACGCACGCAAACAGGGGAGCGGACGAAGGTTTTTTATTAGCTGCAGTGAAGAGGACGGAGACGACACACGGTCAAACATGCATGAACTTGATACAGAGCTGTGATTTTACTTGCATGGTCTGTTGTGCCTTGTGGCGATTGGTCAGTATAGCATTTCACATGTTGTGCCATGTCAAACCCACAAAGTGAACCCTCTCCTCTATTAGAGCTCTGGCTCACCACTCTTATACGGGATCCATTTCCATGATGTTCAAACTGTTTTGCTGAGGTGAAAAACTTGTTGTTATGAGAATGAGAAGATGCAATAAAGGCTGATGCATTATCCAACAACGCCCTGACATGGCACTAATTTCCTTTAATACTGTCGTAAAAACATACATTCCCACTTCAACTATCTTTACCAAAGACCAAATGTATTAGGAGAAGAAAAAACTCTCATTAAGAAACGTAATTGTGTTCTCTCCTGTTTTGTGATGTATTGCCAGGGTAATTGTTCTTGTAACACTAATTTCTACCAAAAGAGGCTGAACTCTTTACCACTACTTAAAGTGAGAAAACTATTAATGTCACTCATTTGAAAGTGAGGTGAGAACTAATTGATATTCTTACCTCTCCTGGCATCCATGGAAAACACTGCAAAAAGGAAGAAAGATAGAGATTTTATAGAAAAACGAAGCGCGGAACAATGTGTCATTAAGCATGTAGCTGCTGAACTAATTCCAACATTTGTCCCAAAAAACTTTACATTTTGCAGCAATTTGTGGACATATTTCTGTTGTTTTCTTCTCCACCTGACCCTCTTTTCCCTCTTACATCCTCCCAGGAATATGACGAGGAGTGGGGAAAGAAGATCCAGAATGAGAAGTTCCGCTGGTACAACGGTCAGTGGCTGGAGATGGTGGAGAACCGTCCGTTGGATGAAGCGGGAGAGCCCTTCCTGTTCGGGGAGGACGGAGAGTCCTTCATCGGGGAGAGAGACATCATGGAGAGGCCCGACCTGTTCTACAGCCCTGGTACTAAGAGCTTTAAAGGAATAGTTCGCTTTTTTAAAAAAAGTTGAGAGTGAGATAAGAAGCTAAGTTACATGTTTAATAACCCATGTTCGTATTGTTTCATCCAGATGGGATCACGTCAACGGACGGGGCCATCAGTCCGGAGTTCTACACCGACCTCCAGGATGGAGAGCTGGGACAGTCCGGGTACATGAGCAGGTATTGAGCTTTCTGGTCCCCTTTAAACCTAAACTAGGGCTAACAATTAATGTACTTTATCATATCTGTTTTTCAGCCATAGTCCATGTACATGTAGATGATGCAGGACCTGCATCATACTCAATGAGTCACCATGATATGAAGTCAATGTTACTTCATCTTTACTGCACTGTTAACCCTAAACTGTCAGTGTCAACACAAAACTGCACCAAAACGAACAATGCTGGAAACAATTTATCCTTTTTTTTAACTGCTATGTGTGTAAGAGTACTCCAAATATGAATAATATATTTAATGCCGAAAAACAAGTGAGCAGATTGATGTTGTAAAGGTTTCCTTTTTTAAAAAGCTCTATTAAATAATATTTGTCTTATTGTGTGTGCACGCCAGCGTTTAGAGGGCATACAAACCATACAATAGTTTCATTTTGGTTTTCAATTGTATTCACTTAAGGAACCATTCCAATATAGAAAATATACATGGGCCCCCAATCCGTGTATCTACTGTCCATTTGTTTCATTATTAAACAAGTAAACGGAAGAGCGTCTGAGAGGCCTTATTGCTTTTTGCTTTTTACCTTACTAAATGGTCTAATGGTCATTGGAGCGAGGGGCGGGGCGAAACTCACGGAAGTGATTTCAAAACAAAAGCACTACGGTGATAATATTATAAACAAGGGGAAACAACGGGAATTTAGCGATCACAACGAAAACGGCCAAGACATACATTGAGCCCAGAACATGAATGTTATTAAGGGCTGTAAATATAATAAGCCTATGTTTAAAATGGACAACATTGTTAGGAGATTTAAACTATGCAGCGATTCTGCACTGCGGTCAACTCCGCCGTCTCTCGCGTTTGTTATTATTTGTTCTGCCATTAGTTCTTCGTGAGATTGACACTGTTGGACTCAGTACTAGTGAAACTACTCCCACAAGTACTATGAAGTACTTTTACTGTGTACTTTTTGAGTAATCCTCTGTCAATGTCACCTCCTGAGAACAAGAATGCATGTTTCTTTGCTATTTTCAATCAGCGTTAAAAAACCTTTCTTCATGAGACTGATATCGTTGGACAGAGTATTTTAAAAGGATGGTGGACATGATATCAGCAATACTTCCAGTCAGTACTCCGGCAGCAGCATTTTTACCCCTTGGAAAGTCTTTAGAGTCTGGCCCGGATAGCTGGTCACAAATATCCTTCAGCAAAGTGACAAACCCTTGTGACTCTTGTTGGCCTCTTATGAAGCTGCTGTCTTTTAAAATAGGACTATTTCTCTGCTCCTAGTTCGTTCCTCGCAGATTGTTCCATCAGTCCCAGTCATCGCACGTCAGTCAATATAGCTTCGAAAAAAGTGTCCAATTCAACAAAATGTTTTTTTGTGAGTGAAGGCCAGAGCTAAATTATAGATTGTTTGATTGTGTAATTACAAGGTGAGAGAAAATAAATCCACACCCTCCTATGAAACGTATTTTATTTACTTGTCCATGTCATACTTATACTTACTTGTATTACAACATTTGCATGTCAGCATATATGCTGGATATCTTCCCCAGCCTCAAGGAAATACAATAAAATAAATGGATTCATAATTTAAAAAAATTGATAAAAATGTATACATTAACGGAACATTGAACAAATGGACGGTAGATACACAGATTGGCCCCCCTTGTAAATATGTCCCTTTAAATGATCAAACATCAAGACTTAGGTTATAATTATTTTTGATAAGAACCATATGGACCGATTAAAAAATGTATCCTATTTGTTCAAACCTTTTGTAATAAAACAACATCATAATAATATAAATGAATGAATCAAAACAAAAATTGACATCCTGGCAGATTGCGACGGACCTTATTTTTTATAATCACTGATGGGTATAAAGATGTTTATACTGTTATTAACGCTGAGATAATGATTAGAATCTCGTTTAGTGAAACCCGCAGTCAGTGCTAGCAAAAAAAGGAGAATCATGCAACCTAAATACAAAAGAAAGAAGAAGATTGGTCAAATGTTTTTAAGGCCTCAGCGAGTACTCCGTGAAAAATGGAACTGGATGCAAAACTCAGACAACTATTGGACCCCAACCCGGCACCCTCATGATTGTGAGTTTGTGACGCAGGTTGTCTTCATCAAGAAACTCTGGTCGTGTCAGAGAGGAAACGCTAAACTGTGAGTGTTTACCTTCCGTCGGCCCTTCCAACAGCCAGCGCTCTGCCCTCGCCAATTGTTTTTTCTGAATCACTATTCGCTGATCTGTGTTATTGAACCAGACTGGGCCTGAGTCAACAAGGCCGCCAATCCCAGAAGGCATCGCTCCACCCTGAACAGCAGTACTCTAGCTTTGAGAACAAACACTCTCGGGCTGTCTCTGTCTCCATGTTTCCCTCTTTCTCATTGCTCTGAGGCTCCAATACATCAGCTACTATAGTTCCAATACGCCGCTCACATTCCTCAGCGAAACATGAAACTGAAGCCTGGGGATTAAAAATCAATCCTGTTATCGCTCTGATGGACCCGGAGTCCATATTTTGGTCCCAATATCAACGGCAGCTAATTTGATACGCTGCTGAGATGATGAATAGTTGAAGAAATACAGAGTTTATTGTGAGTAATTTGTCTTGTTTATTATCAAACTCCTCCTTGCGTGCGATAAAGCTCGTGTCGACGGATTTTCTCTCCCCCCTCGCCGGCAGGAATGTTTAGCTTGGCTGCTGTTGAGAGGCTGACTGTGACCGGCTGAATCCACGACACAGTCTGTCCAATGAGAGAGAAATCCCAACCTGACTTCCCTTCACTCGTTTCTTTATTGTCTGTTTCTTTTCTCCTTCTGTCACTCTCTCTCTCTCGCACTCAGCTTTGTAACTGATACCTTTTAAATATACTGTGAGCGCCGGGGGAATCTGCGTCTGTGGGACTGCTTTAATTTGGCCGCTGTACTCGGAGTGATCCAGGTTAACATAATAATCAAAGCCAGCTCCGCCGCTTATTTTAAACTATGTGTGAAACATGGTGCGAATGGGGCCTTTTTAAAATGGCTGTAATATTGTACAATCACTGTTGTTTGTAATAATATCAGAAAGAGAGTTATACCAACTTTATGCAAAAAAGAGCCTTACCGACATGTTGGCCACTACTGAATTAAACGTATTGTTTTCTGTATACTTTATGAGAAGAAACTACATATAGTGACATTAGTCATTGCTGAGGGATCCATTGATCACAATAATACATCCTACGTGTTCATACATTTGGCAGCTGTGAATAGGCAGGAAAAAGCAATTAGTCCTTATTAATAAAAGTAAAGAGCTCCTAATCAAAAGTGTTAAAAACGGATGTGATATTTCAAAATGTCTGAAAAAAATTCAAGTATTTAATCCCGCTTTAATTCAATATTTTACACTGTAAGAACAGGGGGACAGATGAGTTGGTGTTAGAGAGGTGTCAGACAGACAGGCAGTGTGCGACTGTGCACACGAGCACGCCAACCGGAGAATCAATGAGTGCTTTGAGAGGCTGTCAGGATGTGACGGGGCAGCAGGGAGTGAAGTGAGGTACATCTGAAGGAAGTGAGCACCGTCACAATCAGGTGAGACGTGGAGATACGATGGGAGGGTGCAGGGAAGGCGGGAGCGAGACCAGGTTCCTTACCGGGGCAGGCGTGTTGCTTAGCTGTAATCTGAGCAGTGACAGCGGGGAGAGATCAAAGCGGGGCCCAGCCAGGGGCCCTGGAGGAGGCAGGCGCAGGGGGGAGGCGCAGGGGGGGAGGCGAAGGGTCACGCAGAAGGAGGAGAAAGGCCTGATTCCCTTTCCTGTTCACTACCAAGGAATGTTCTCTGCGGGATGGGACGTGTCCTGCAGCCGCTCCTCTGGGGGCCACACTGGCATTTGTGGGAACACCGGGCCCCTTGTCTCAATGACCCCCAACCACCCTCTCCTCATTTTGTCGGCGTGTCACAGCACACATGAAGGGAAAGAGGTGGCAGACAGGTTGATTTGCATGTTTCATAATGAGAAATATCAGAGCCGTGTCAGGCGTCGTTTCTGTCCAGACCGGCTGGATACATTTGATTTCCTCAGCTACAGGGTTTTTATATCCACATCTGCTGCTGGAGGCCGGCGCCTTTTGTTGACACCAATATTAAGATTTGGTTTCCTACCCTTATTGAGAACAATGTTCTAAAGATGACATTTTTTATAATTTGATTGATTTGATTTCAATCATCAAATATTTCTCAGTGCTAATTAAATAATTGTTTTGGGTACATGCAGGTTTAAATTAAGTGTTTTGTTTTTTGAGAAAATACCTTTTTCTAAAAAAGAAATAAAAAATAAAAAAAGAATATAGATTTCTACAAAATACTAAAAACAACAAAATGCTTTGTTTAATGTTTAACTACAGTCTGACCAACATCCAATCCAAAAAAGATGAATAATAGGAACATAAAACAGTAGTCTTCCCAAACTGCCTGTATGGATAATTACAGGCAATTATATTATAATGTTGGACTTAATCAGAGCTAATGGATGACCATCCCTGATGCTTTGGGAGATGCAACCTGTAAAATGTCAAAACACATTCCTGGCATACAGTATATTGCCAGTCAAATAATGTTGAATTATTTGTATCATGTTGTCCAGTACAAACACATGACACCATTTGTCTTAAAATGAAGTTCTAGATGAAAAAAGTTGAAATAACGATTAGAAATCATTACAAAAAATTAATGATTTGTCGATTCATCCCACTCGGGCTATCCAACCCCCTCTGAAAAGATGAATGATAAATCTAACAGGTTGTAAATGATATTCAAATAAGAAGGAAAATACTAAGGTTCCAAAATGTGGACTAGTCACAATGTGGTTAAACAAATGTAATATGATGCACCGTCCCCACTAAAAAAAAGAAGTTAAATTAATTCATAATAAAAACGATTATTACCTGTTTACAACGAGCCATAATTGAACAGATAAAATACCATGAATGTATTTGGATTTGCTGTAAGTGTTTTTTTTCACCCTTAGAGCTTTCCTGTTCTAAATTATCCTAAACTATGGCTGAGCATCAGGACTGACACAGGTCCTGCACATTTCCTGGAAGTCCAGGCTGGGGTGTAACCGGACAGTCGGCAGTGTCTGGCGCTGACACGCGGGCCGGCCGGCGGGCGGGCGGATGCTGTGACTCAGAGCTCCAGTGTTCCTGCAGCCTCCTTTAGCGCGGCTCTCAAATCCCCCCTGACAGCCGTAGCGTGCGGAGAGGAAAAAAGACATATTTCTGCCTGGAGTAGAGATGGTGGGGGGGGGTGAAGGCAAAACAGAGTGGTGGAGAGGAGGGGAGTGGGTGGGGATATGCTGCAAGCTGTGTAACTGATCGCTGGAAGTGATTTAGCTAAAAACAACACGTCATTATAGGCGCTTGCAGGGGCAAAGCAAACAGCTCGTATTTTAGAAGTACGGGAGAGGACCAAGAGCTGCGCAGCAAACACTTGGAGAGAAACACGGGGATGGACGTGTGAGATGTGTTGTCATCCATCAGAGCCCAGTTTATCCATCAAGTGCTCCTTACGTCGCTGTGACCCCATCACCAGACTCAAAACTTCCAGCAGCTGGTCAGAAGATGGAGCGTGAAATGGGCCCCCTCCCTCTGTATCCACATCCCCATAGTAACTGATTTATACGGTGTAGATACAGGCCTTTTATCATCCCCCTAAACCGGCCCCAGTTTGCCGGGCGGAGGGCAGCCAGGTCCTCCAGGTCTGGCCGTCAGCCTCGTCACAGCGCTGTGTTTTGACATCTTTACATTTCTTTATGGCTTGGCAACTCTACTGTTTACCCCTCCAGCCATTAGCAGTCTGTAACTCACACACTCATTGTGGATGTCTAACACCTGCACCAGGGCAGATGAATATTACATTCACTTTTTTATGAGATGTTTCTTTTCACCAATGACTGAGTGATTGGGTTGGTCCCGAGAGCCAGGGGTTTACAGAGAGTAGGCTAGTGTCAGAGCTCCACCTGGTGGTGCTGCTGGTGCTTACTGTCTTACCAGCAAATGTTAAACCTGCTGCAGGGATTTGCTTTCATGGAGATACATCAATGAAGTTCTTATTTATTAGTTTCAAACTCTGAGACTCTCTGTAGAATCCCCCAAAACGACTTCCTCTGAACAAATTGTGTCTAAGTCAGGGGTCTCAAACTCAAGGCCCGGGGGCCAAATCCGGCCCGCGACTTCATTTTCTGTGGCCCCACAAGAGCTTGCAAAGAATATAATATGTTTATTATACGGTTACATGCCGATTTACAAAAGCACGTTGCCCATAAACTACATGTCTCACAATGCATCTCAAATATGCCTTCTTTCTCAGAATGTGACTTTTTTCCTTCAAAATATGACAATTTTCTTAGAATTTGACCTTTTCTCAAAATGTTACTTTGTTTTTGACTTTTTTTCCAGAATGTGGCTTTTCTTTTTCAATCATTTTGTGACATTCTCACTGAAGAGACTTCCAATTATTTGCCCTATCTTCTGCTTTCACATGTAGTTAATTATGAAGTTATTACCCTATCCGATAATAATCCAATGCAGAGGCAATAATGTAATATAATACATTATTTTATATATATTAAATATCTATATATGTCTTTTTATATAGTCTTAAAGTTACAACCGGCCCTTTAAGTGCAACCATAATGCGAATGTGGCCCGTGATGAAATTGAGTTTGACACCCCTGGTCTAAGTGATCTTTAAACTATTGTAATACGTTCCCCTCAGCCTCTCCTAAAACATTCTGCAACCCATGTCACACTTTGAAAATCTCTGGTTTAAAGAATTGCCTGGTTTCATGTCTCTTTAAGTAGTATTAGTATCTGTCCTAACCATATCAAATATTGTTTTATATATTGAGAGTTAAGTAATAAAGATACTGCCACATCTCTGTGTTTTTAATTCGGTCTCACTATATTTGAGATTGTAATAATTGTCCCCGTCTCTTCCCTCTTCTGCCCTGTCAGTGTGTCGGAGCAGTTTGTCCCAGCAGACCAACCGGTTAGCGGCTACGGCTTCCAGCCCGAAGAACAGTTTTTCTTCAACTACAACAATGCCTCCCGGTAAAAACCTGGAACCTGTCACTCATAAATACTGTACACATGTCTCTGATATTGAATGTGTGCTACTAAAGATGCGTCTGCTGTGGAGGAATAGTAGACACACATCTCTTGTTTCTGCACCTCACAGCGTTCGACAAGTTTTCACTGTCGTCTTAACAATAAGTCAGTCTATTAATGAAGCGAACAATCTGCATTTTTTTTAACAAAGTGTCATTTTGTTTATTTTAAAGCACCAAAAAGTAATCACTTTTAAACAAGTATGACACAAGTATCTCACCCGCAACGTCCTTAAATCTCTGAAAGTATGTGCCCAATAAATAGAGACATATTTTTCGTCTTACTAATTTAAAACTTCTGAAAACAATCCTGTCTATGGCAGGCAGTCTTAGATTTCATTTTACTTTTATTCAGACGTTTAAAAATAATTGTAATGTTTCTTAAGTGATTCAAGCACACAGTGTCAAAGCTTTATCATTTTATTTTTCATTAATACAGTATACAAAAAAAAAAAATCAAAAGCATCTACATATTTCAGAAGACAGCATTTGCTTCCATTCTTGCAAAACCATTTGTTTTAACTGATCATCAATTTGATTAGCAATTTGTATTAGTTGTTAATTGACAAAGCATTGCAGCCCTTTAGTCGGGAACCATTGAGTAACACATTAAACAAGTAGTTGAAATAGCTGGAGTTATAAGTTATCAATACACCAGCATTTAAAACATTAACTCAACTAAGTAAACTCAAATGTCTCAGATTGTCTGTATACAAAAAAAACACATTTCTCTTTAAGAAACGGCCTGGAAAAATATTACGAAAAAATTCAGTATTTTCTTGTTTTTGCACACAGTCTCTCACTGGAAGCTCTGCAGTACACTGTAAAAAAAGAAAAAAGGTCCAGGCACTGTATTAAAGTGTCATTTATCTCTATTTCTGTGAATGTAATTGAAGAAGAAATGTAAACAGCCTTTAATGTCTTATATTGAAATATGTGTCTTTAAATATGAACAAATGTTAAATAATTTATATTCACTCTTTATCTTGTCCTTGATCCTGCTGGCCCGCGACAATATGAGAAGAACATTTTTTCTGTGTTGCAATATATCAAATGAATGGAGGGCATATTATTGTAGTCAACCCGTATTAGAATGTAACCCGTCACAGATGTTGGATTACAGCTTTTTGATATTTCTCAGCGCAGTGTCTGTGATTGTTTAAAAGAAAAAAGTTGTGCATCGTAAATAAATATTTAAAGCCTGAAGCTGTTTGTTTTATTGGCATATAAAATAATTTATAAGCCAGAAATGGAGCCATCACACAAATTATTTCAAGGTACGTTTGTTTAATAGAATCTTTTTATTATTTATACATTTCCACACACATTTTTCATTAACCAACATTCATCGGATTTACAGTAGAAGGTCATATGGTTTACTCTCACTGTAAACTTTCCTACTAACCATATCTGTGTAAGATGCTCTGCACAGGTTAAAAGGCACAGGTGTTCAAACTAGGACCCGTCTGTACTGCAGACAGCAGCTGCTTTCCTTCATGTGACGTAAGGCATGTGAAGGCAACACGGAGGTAATGTAGAGGCACTTGGATACGCTACTTCTTCAGTTTCTTTGTAAGTTCAAAGTCCTTCAGTAGGTCCAAAATAAAGCACATTTAAGAGAAAACAATGGGCCAAATCTACAGCTTTAAATCAATTTGGGAATGGTATTTATTTATTTGTGCTAATATATTAAAAATATCTGTTATCTTGGTTTCTAAATCATGAAAAACTCACTGATTTAACAACAATAGTGTGAAGGTTCTCTTGTAGTCTGTTTAGAGAAATAGTTCAACATTGCTTTTTCCCCCAAAAGTGAGCTGTTCAGACAGTACAAAATCTTGTGTCTTGCATAACTGGAGTCATGAAGTTTACCCTAGCTTAGCATAACAACTCTGATGAAGTCTTTAGTTCAAAGCCAATTGTTTAACATTTCTGTTGGTCTTGAAATGAAAGAAAGGTAAGACATGTTAATGGATAAGCTTCTGAAGCTTTGCTAGATGTCATTTTAAACTTTGGTTAAAGCCCAGCTAGTTGTTTCCCTGTGTCTTTATGCTAAGCTAGGCTAACCATGCCCTGACTCAAGCATAGATATCAGAGTGCTATCCATCTTCACCTCCCAACGCTGACATTGTAGAACATCCTTATACACTTTATTCCAAAGTAAATTCATAATCTACCACAGCATAATGATAGTTCCATAAAGTTCTTCATAATCTTGGTAAAATAGTTATAAATCTAGTTTCTCTAAAGAAGTCGGTGCTAAGTCTCTGAGAGACAGAAACTTGATGATGTTATACACCTGAAAGAGCTGATTATATTGATTTGTGTAAATGAGTTGTATAAATAATTAACCATAATTTCATGCATATGGGCTTTAAAAAAAAGAGTTAATGGAAGCATTTGTGAATGTTTTTCAGGAGTATTTTCCTGTTTCTGCTCTGCGAACAAACATTTTGACTCCAGGTCTGTTTGAGGCTACCGTATTACCGTATGTAATAATTCTTGAAATAATTTGGTTCCCTTTAGCAGAAGACTCCTAATTATGTTGTCTCTCGTCTTGTCGAAAGCACAGTGATGCAGTTGTGATGCTTCATTCCTCCTCTGTTGGAACTCCACTTGGGTAACGCTTCACCAGCTCCTCCACCTCAATCACCTCCATCACCAGGTCACGGATTGCCTTGACGCTATCAATGGGCCTTGCTTCAGGGCTGATGGAAGTTTCTGCTTCTGTGGGCTCGGGAGGCTGAGAGGGTGTAGACTCATCTGGCTGAGAGGTTGTAGACTCTTCTGCCTCCACCAGCGGCTCTACGTTCGTACCTGCCTCAATGTCCTCACTCACAGCTTCTGTCTGTTCCTCACGACACGGATCATCGACTGTTATCTTGTCCTCAGGCTGCTCGTCTGAGCTGACGGGTGAATTACTCATGTTGGCCTCATCCAAGACGTCCGAGGTCGTTGAGACTTCGTCCCCACTGCTCTGCGTTGTTCTCCCTTCCTCCATGGACTCCACATCGGACGGGGCAGACTCACTTCCCACTGACACATCCAGAGAATTAGGGTTAGAGACAGTAACTGTCTCTTCTTCCCGTCTCTTCAGGTCCAGGCTGATGTCTTCAGGTGTGAGTGCACGCGTTTCACCACTAGAGGGAGCCTCTAACTTGATTTCTGAGTTTACACAGTGTGACTCTTCTTCACTGCTGGCTAACGTTTGGCAAGCAGCTTCTTCTGCGGAAGTGTTTTGTGGTTCAATGGTAGGACTTGGTAAAGGAGCTTTTTCTGGTTCAATCATTTTTTCAGAACTTGGTACAGGAGCTTTTTCTGGTTCAACAGAAGAATCCGCAACTGCTACAGGACCATGTTCTGGTTCAGTAGAAGAATCAAGACTTGGTAGAGGAGCTTCTGTAGATGCTGCTTCTTCTTCTTCTTTCTTTTTACTTTCTACAACAGTGGGCACTTCGGACAAAGTGATTTCTGTCTCTCTTGGAGCTGCTGTGGTCTGCATCTGAGGCTCAGCAGCCACCTCTACTGCAAACACATTATCTTGGATCACTGTCTCAGGTGCCGCTTCTACATTCACTTCCTGGGTCTCACTCTCTTTAGCTGTGTCTGTTACCTCTGGTGTCTCCAGTGAAACAGGGAGGCCTTCTTCTTCCTTCACGGCTTGGACGACTTCTTCTGCTTTGGTTGGTGTTGCCTCCTCACTGACAGTTGGAGCTGCATCTTTTTCTTCCACCTTCCCCAGAGGTGTCTCAATGGCGGTCACATCCGTCGAGGCTTCGCTTGACAGCACACCGTTATCCATCTTCTCTTCCTTCTTGGGGCTGAATGACAGACCATTGACTGCAAGAGGAGAGAGGGGTGGGGGCTCAGAGGAGGTTCTGATGGGGGAGGCGAGCATCATGGCGGGGCTGTTGGGAGTGGAGGCGGCCGGCGAGGGGGAGGAGAGGCTGGAGCGGCTGGACTGACTGAGGAGGTCTCTGCTGTCTGTGAACAGGTTGTACTTCTTCAGGCTAGCTGCCTCTTTCACCACTGCAGGAGAGAACAGGGAGGATTAGAGGTGTGTCTGTGATAGAAAGTGTTGGTATATCATCAGCAGTTTAACATACCTTTAGTGACCTCCTTGTCCAGAGTTTGCAGGAGGATGATCTCGTAAACGTTCTCGACATGGATGTAGTTGGAGTGGTCACCGTCGATGGTCTGCTCGAGACTCTGAAGCTCCTGTACAGAAACGCATACACAAGTCATGCTCTGAAACTATGTAGATGTTGTATGACACTCTTCATCATAGCTGTGTGTAGCTGAGACTCACAGTTTTGCAGGTGGGGGCCAGGTTCTTCTTGATGTAGGGCAGAGTGATGGAGACGAGAGCCTCCCTGGAGATCCTCTTCCTCACCGTGCTGCTGTCATGGTCATATTGCTGCAGGACACACAGGAGAGAAGGTAAGGCCTTTTTTGTTTTAAGTTTCCCTGAGGTATGATTGCATTCCAACACCAGTGTCAATACATGAAGTTTGTCCCATGAAGATATATTGATAAACAAGTGGGCGTTCATTATAAATGTATTCTGTAGTGCAGAACGATAAACCCCTAGGAATCCAGAATCTCTTTTAAAACTGTTAATACAAACTCAAATTATTCAGAATGAATCCAGTTCCTGCATTAACCATGTTTTCTGACCTTGAGCACTCTGTGTTTGGCCTTGTTGATGGCAGAGCCGGGGTTGTCAGGGTTATCCTGGACCGCTTTGTTGAGCAGCTGCCCAAACGTGTGGGCTGCATTCTCCATCAGCTGACACACACACACACACAGGATGAGATGAGATCAGACAGCAGTTAAATGACCCAAATACAGAGCCAAAGATAGCATCTGAAAATCCCATCAGTGTGGATTATCACTACAACCAAGGTTTTCATTATTTACACACAATTGTTATTGTTTCTTCAATACATTCACACAGTGAATGTATTGAAGAAACATGCATTACAGTCACAAGAGTATCATAATCAGAAACACTTTAAAGATCCCCTCGGGGAACTGCTGGCTAATAAAATGACTATTTCACTCAAATGAAAATAACCTCTCCACCCACTCAGTCTGAGCGTCTGACGGAGAAAGTGAATGAAAAATATCATACTGTTTGTCTCAATGGTGAAAGAAGTACTCTGGTACTTTGTCACTTTTCTCCACTACTGTGTGTGTACCTGCTGCAGGTCGATCTGAGCGCTGTGGATCACTCCCTTGATGTTGGAGAAGCCGAACCTCTCCTGCAGGTGCTGCAGTTTCTCCTGTAGGGAGCCGATCTTCTGGTAGCAGCTCAGCAGGTTCGGTCTCGCCATTTTTGCAAGAGCCTGAGGCACAAGCAGAGGATGGGGTTATGGATTTTTAAAGCCCCCTCAAGAGTATTAAAACACATCCTTTCTTTAGCGTCCATGTTGTTTCCAAATCATGTCTAAGAATACATTAGCACATCAAAGTCGAAAAGAAAGACCTCCTCTTCCAAGTTGCCTTTTAGTTTTATATACTCAAAACTTTTTTTATATAGAATTCAATATCTTAGATACAACCTAGAAGGTAAAACCAAATCATTATCAGATTTCTTTCTTTTTTTCTCTGAAAGAATTTATTTAAATGATTATTTTGGTTTATAGTAATACGTTCATAATCTGAGATCAAATATCATTCATCATTTCAGCCCAACTATTGTTTTATGGGACAGCGATGTGGATATACTTTAGAGTATGTCTGTTAAGAGTACAGTACACAATGATTCAACGTTGTACCCTGAAGACAAAAATGATGTATTAAATATTTTTAATTTGTCTTATTTGGTCACATGGGTTGGGCTCTTTAAAATGTTACAGCAACATATAATAAAACCACCCCTTTAGTAGAATTTGTTGGGTAGACACTTTTCTAGATTGAGTCTTAAAAAATTAGGCCACACTGACAAATTAATTCTGATGTGACAATAAAAGATGATTATTCCTCAGTTCATTTGACCAATCTTTTCTGTAAGATATTTATTATAACCACACCTCCTTCACTTGCTCATTGTCCACCAGCATCATGACGTCCTGGCACAGCTGGTCCATCATGGTTTCACTCAGCTGCCGTCCCTCCTGGAAGCCTGAGCTGACGGGCTCCATCAGCTCCTCCAGCACAGAGCCCAAGTACGGCTGCACCGACTCACAGCACAGCTTCTCTGCTGGCTCCGATACTTTGGCTGGAAGGAGAAGTTAAACGTTTATTCTCAGAAAACAACCATGCATCACAGCTCAGCCTGTGTTTGGCAGTCGGCCTCTGGACGTTACCTCTGACTTTCTCCTCCAGCTGCCATCGGGACTCGAGGATCTGGTCCATGTCGGAGTGGATGAGAACCTCCTGCTGCCGGAGCGATGTTCGACATTCCTCCTTCAGTGCGGAAAGTCCCTCCAGCAGATGCTCCTGGATCAGGATGTAGGCCGCCTCCACCGTCTGGGCAGAATCCGGTAATTAATCAAAGGTCCATGATTTCGGCTATATTAATTTGCTACTGCTAGAGCCATAATATAATTCAGGGAATGGCCCACAGCAGGAAGGCACAATGTATCCTTTCAGATTTGAATGGGTTAAGTTTGTGATTAAACAAAAATATAACCCTGAGACTGACATTAATATGCTCTTCGGGTGCCAATTTGCAAATAAAATAATACTTTTGTATTGAATTGAGAAGGAAACGGCAGCATCATCAGTCACAGGATATTAAAAAGGTATCAAGTTAAAAGTGTGACTCACAGCAAACCACACTCTCTTCTTCTCTGTCTTCTTGGCCTTGAGGCGAGGCAGCATGTCTTTCTCCAGAGACGGCAGCAGCTGCTCCATCACCACGTTGGCCATCACCTGCAGACACACACAGGAATTCAATTATTACTCTTTTCCAACACATCATTTAACATCTCAACTGTCTAAAACATTCCAGGGTTGCCAAAACCCAAAGTGATGTTGCATTACATTGCGTTTGGCCACCTGTGAGACTATTCAATTGCTACTCAGTTTGATTATAAAACACGAAGGTATTTGAGAATATGCATTCTATACAGAGCCTTACATATTAACCTACAGTACTCCCATTTTACCGTATTGCAAATATTTATGTGTTAATCTAAAAATGACAAGAAATTGCAAGACATTTTAAAAGGTGACTTTGTACACTGTAACATATTACCACATATTATGAATCTGATCTCAAATAAAATAAAAACCAACAAGTGGGCAAAAGTCTTAAAACTAGATTTGAACAAAAAAAAAGCGTCTAATTTTTCCCATTGAAAATGTGCTTCAGTTATGCATAGTACCAAAAATAACTCTTAACTAACCGCAAAAGTGATGCTGTTAAAACAAAAAGCAAAACAAATGATGTCGCCCAGTTTGTAATCCAGCCTTGGTGAAATGAATTTAAAAGAACAAAGAGCGTGATAAGCTCCAAATGCCTCAACTGGGGTTATGAAGAAATCCTCTCAATCAAATCCAATTCTCAATTCTTTTTTAAGATGACCTGCCAACTAACAGGAGACAGGATGACATATACCACTGAAGATTAGTCCTTCTTACAGTTTTTTGGAGAGTATAAAAGTTATTTGCAACCAATCTAAACTGGTAATGGACACAGTATTTGTAAAATAAAATGATAAACTTCACTGAAAAACATTATTTTGAGGAGCATACTTTTTGTTCAAGTGCATTTATTGGCAACATTTACAATGAAAATCTAAGTCCCTTTTTTCTAACAAAATAAAAAGGCATCAAAAATATCCAATAATAAATCAATAAGCCTGGTGGATGTATGATGGTATTGGGTTTTTTGATAAATTGATAAATTGCTTAACTGCTTACTTAACACAAAGATGTAGGTGAACTCTTTGCTCACTCCCTTTCTATCTATCTAACCATTCGTTAAGTTTGACAGCTTTTATGATTTAGCAGCTGCTGAAACTCTTTACTCTGTCTCTGCACTGTGCCGACATTTCATTCATTCCTCGCATGTCTCAGCTCTGACGAATGTGCAAGAAAGAAAACATGCTGTTGAGTGAGGGCAAGCATGTGTACTTTGGTATGTATTTTTATTACACGGGTATGAGCTGCACACTTGGGGCACAAAACAGGAAATGTCTGAGTTATTACTAAGACAAATTGGTTTTAAATTGTGTGTGTGGGCTTCCTGCAGCAAGTCCTACTTCCTTTCACCTTCAACTGATTGTGCCTAAACACAATGTGAGCGAAACAACAAAACAATGGAGCATTTAGCCTGTCACCATGCTCTGCTTTAGAGAGCACCAGGAGAAAGCACAACACATAGCAGAGAGCATGGAGAAGAGGAAAACGAATAAGGAGGACAGTCTGACACCCTGCAGCCTGTAAACACTGTAGGAAAGGGAAGCTATTATATAGCAACCGAATACCTATTTATAGGGGCCCTATTATGCGTTTGGTTAGGTGGTTTCCCTTTCCTGTAGTGTGTTGTATATGTGTTTGTTTATGTAACATCCCAAAGTTCCCTCCAGAGGGAGTTTCTCTAATATGACATCACTATGTACCAGAGGTGGGGACTCGAGTCACATGACTCGAGTCGCATATTTTTGGACTTGAGACTTGCTTGACTAACATTGATAAAAGACTTAACTTGACTTTGACTTGGTATTCATGACTTGAGACTTGACTTGCTTGACTCTCACCACAGTGACTTGGGACTTGCTTGATACTTGTAGGTCCAGACTTGGGCCTTGCTCAGGACTTGCACATGTAGGACTTACTCCCACCTCTGCTATGTACCACTTGCGCTTCTATTGGCTAGTGCTCCAACAGACTTTACATGATAGGCTAAGGGATGGGACATCTTTAAGCGGTTGACTTATCACAACAGAGCTGGCCAGCTAACCAATCGGAGCAGACTGGGCTCTGGTTTCAGACAGAGGGTGAAAAGAGGTGCTGCAGCACAGGCAGTGTGAGGAAAATAAAGGCCTTTGAATTCACCGTAAGATTACTTTAGAAAAATGTGGGACACACATGTTGTACATCCTGCTGTAGCAACTGATGTCAGATTCTGTCTATTCAAATGGTTTTATCGTCAGCCAACCACGGTGTGCTGCTCCTCACAAATGTTTTGGTATCACAGCTGAACATCTGTTTCATGAATTTGTTTAAGTCGTCTGCAAGCTCAAGTTTCTCTGTTTGACACACAGAGATAATAGTTCATGGTTCACCAGGGGATAGAGTGACACTCAGTGGATGGTCGATGCAACAAGAAAGGAAAAACATAGGGGAACACTACATTTGTCTTTTTTCCAGTTTTTCTGTACTTTTTTATCTTTTGTTTGACTTCTTTGCAAGACATCCTGGGGATTATAGTCAGAAATGATTACTGTTGATTATTTGCTTACTCAGCAATTGCAATTGGGATGAAATATGAATCTAATGTCTGTGTGTTAAGTACAGAGTCAAGACTTAGCCTAGCATGATGACTGGAAAAGGGGGGAACAGTTAGCCTAGCACCTACAGGCATCTTTAAACACATTCAATAACAGTGAGGGTATTTCCCATCAATCTTCTTTAAACTATTCTTTAATAAAAGGTGTAGATGAATCCTGTAAATCTACTGAGGATCTAAATGAATAGAATAATTAGTTGAGAGTTTGGGACGTACCCTGACATCACTTCCTATCAGCATGTCCCAGGACTCGTATCTGTCTTTGTCCTGTCTGTAGAGCTGGATGGCTTTGAGGAAGGCCTGCACTTCACACGTCTTCTTCTTCAGGAAGTCTGACAGAGAGGGAAGAGATGGAGATTTAAAAAACTACCAGGTTAAGAAACTGCCAGAATGATTTGTCATCATTCTCTTTGTTTCAAGCTGTGATGTGAGCTGAGTGTAAAGCTACATCTCCTCGCAGGGCTGCACAGAGAAGGGATGTTCTGCTTCAACATCATTATATAAAAAAAGTCTTGAACGTCTCTGCTCCTCGGAGCTGGTGTGGCGAGTCTGTTGCCATGGAAACTGTCGAAAGTGGTTTAAGTGATGGTATGCAACCTAAATCTATCTCTTATCACTTAGCTGTGATCAGTTTCTGTAGCAAGTAATGATGCATTCCTGCAGAGTAACATGGATCATTAGGTACCATCTAATGAGCTATACATGTTATAACGTTTTTTAATCAATATGACACTGGAGATAGGACAATCCTTTTCCATATTCTGGCTGCAACTAAATCATTTTCATCATCCATAAATCTGCCTATTCTCCTAACAGATGAATCTTTTAAATGCATAAAATGCCACATAATAGGGAAACCGTTCATCTGAAATGGCAAACAACTGTTCCAATCCAGAATATATTAAATCTACTATTAAATAAAGGCGTCAAAAACCGGAAAAGCTTGAACGTTTGAAGAAGGCTTAAAACTAAATTAAAATGTGTACTGACTAAATGAAATTGAAAGACGTGTAATTTTCTCAGACTTCCATGCAATTTGCCTTCTTTCTGTAACTATTGGAGTTTTCCCCTCCAGGCTATCAGAGGGATAAAACGGCCATTTTAAGCCACTCCCCCATTGTATTTATTTCCAGATTAGGAGGTTACTCGCTGGTCTCACCCTGGTTCTGGTGCCTGATGCAGTCTGACAGGATGGAGAGGAAGGCGTCCTGCTTGGCCTGCTGTTTGAAGCAGAAGTAGGAGTCCCTCCTGTAGGGAAGACGCAGGTAGACGGGAAACTGTCCCGGCATCCCAGAGAGAGGAGGAGCAAAGTCCTCATTCACATCTGAAACACAAAGATCAGGGGCCTCATTTATAAAGGGATATACGCTCAAAAAATGGCGTACGCCAGTTTCTACGCAATGTTTGCGATTTATAAAATACTAACTTGATGGGAAAATGTGCGGTCCTCCACGCAAACTCTAACCCATGCGTACGCACTAAGCACAACAACGGGAGAGACGAGAAACTGCGACACCGTTGGCAGAAGGAAGAATGGAGAGAAATGTGTGGAAATAATACCATAAATAAAATGTTACCTCTCATTTATCATATGAATAATTCATTTTCAAACATTGATTAACGCCAATCTTAAAATGATTAAACAAACGCCTGTTTGCGACTCCTCGGTGCACACACAAACATAACTTGGAGAAATAAATAAATACGGATATGTTATTTAAAACCACTTCGAATATGTTGTGTTAACGTTATGAAATGATGCGGTAAGCAGGAGGACAGAATTAAGTCTAAATTGACGCCGTTTTGCATTTCTATAGGTTGTTACGAGCATGGTTTTATATGATTAATCGTGTTTTATGCCGTTTGCTAAGACTTGATAAGTCGCTCATAAAACACAGGAGGTATGGAAACTAAGAACACCATATATTTGGTAGATTTGGCAGCTGATATAACTCAACACATTAGTTTTATTTCCTTTAACAGGTGGATATAGAGTTGCTGCAGTGGAGACGCTGCGCACAGCTGTTAACTGGAACACAAACCACCAAATAAAAAACTAAACATGAATTGACTCCACTACGCAGGGATCCCCCGATACCTTCTTACAGTTGCTCATCATGGGGGGGGGGGGTCTACTGTCCCCGGCACAAACACACTGACACACTGCCGAAGGTTATGTGTATTTTGTCATGAACCTTTTTCGGACCACTTATTTATTTATTTTGGTGACGATCCGACCTCCATGCTGCTACTCTGGTTCAAACTGCATCCACCAAACAATATGATTTATCTCGACCTCCCCAAAATAACCAAAATCTGACACGGTGTGAGATGTCTTTTTTAGCTGTTCTGTCGTCATTTCCTGCGATCTTCTTCATAAAGTCAGTCAAAATGAATGAATGGGCGTTTCTTTGACTATTTATAGGCAAATATGGGCGTTACGTGAAGCCCGCAAAAGCTGCACCGCATTTCAAGTCGATTGTGATTTATAAAAGGGAAACCGGCGTAGGAAGTGCCATACGCACTTTCCTCGCCGGTACACAATGTTTTGTGAATCGGAAAATGTCGGAACATTTCTGTACCTATTTATTGGATTTCTACTACGTAAGCAACCTTCCCACGTGAATCCTACACACGGCGTTATAAATGAGGCCCCAGCTGAGGGTGAGCACCAAAATAAAAAGGAAAGACGATGTTTCAAACAAATTAATGGTTTAATGTTGGGTTGGTTGGTTTGAATGTTTAGTCCACACCGACTTTTTATCAAGTATGATCTCGATTGACCACATCCTTATTTCTATCTGAATTTGCTTCATATTAAACACAATCTTCTAGGTACACCAACTCAGTGGGCGTTTCTGCTACCAGTGGTGGAAAGTACATTTACTCAAGTACTGAAGCACAATTTTGAGATACATGGCCATGAATATTTCAATGTTATGCTGCTTTATGATTTTACTCCAATATCAGAGTGAAATATAAAAGTGTTTGCTGTACATGTATTTGGCAGCTACTTTCAGTTACAGATATACAATTATTGAGTAAAATGCATCGTAAATGTTGTAATTATGCAAATTATTAAAAAATACTTAAATACTATAGGTAGGTGGAATCACAATATGTAACCATAACTGTAATAAAAGAGCTAGAACACCATAATATGATACATTTATATATATAAATAAATCAATACCTTTTTTTTTTAAATATCACATTAGCCTTACTAACTGGTACATCGCGACAACCCTAATGAGTACCTTTTGTACTTTAAGTTTATTTCAATGCTTTTATATGTAACAGAGTATTTCTACACTGTATTAGTATATGGGTTCTGGTGGGCAGATTATGTTTTACTGTGTGGGTTTAAAATAAAGAAGACGAGTAGGGTGGATTATTAATTTACTTCTACTCTAATAATCTCTGTTCAAAACGTTTAAACTTTATGACCCCATAACACATGGATGTTCTTTAAAGCTTCAGGGAGTGTGAACTTGTGTCGGGAACAGAATATCTGAGAGGAAAGAGACGCATTACTGACTCCTGAGCTCTCATATTTCATGTTATAGACTCTCACAGCTTCAGTGGCTGAACCACTAAGCCAGATGAGCCTTTTGGGGCTTTAAGCACCACAACACAGTGCTACTTTGCAGCTGACATTTTCAACACTCTTGCAAAAACAATCTTGATTGATCAATTGCTCCACAGTAAAGAGGAAAAATATATCAAACATCTTTAGATTTTTGGATAAAATATCCCTTTAAACTTAACAGCTATTTATTGCTGTAAGAGGACAAGGCTAACAATGAGTTAAACTACAAAGTGTGCCTTTTTAGTTCATGTTGATACTGGTGGCAATTATACAATTCTCTATAAACAGACATTCTCAAGGATAGCCTTATCAGTCATTATGATTTAAGTCATGCTCTGAGTGTTTGTGTTTCTTAAACAATGCTTATTTCATTCCTTCAGTCCTTCTTGGCTCCCACCTGCACTTCTTTAAGCTTTGAGCACCCGTGGGTGGGAGTTTGTTGTTCAAGATCTAAGTGGGAACACTTCAGGTTTCTCTTTTGTTTAAGAAACAAGTCCTACATTTTAAACATGAAATGTATTATCGAGAGGGGTAATAATGTCTTCTTTGTGTGTTAATAGAATGGATAATGATGTGTGATAAGATATTTCACATTTTACTGATGGATAATGATGATTAGAGATTGTAAAAAGAAACAAAATACATGTATTTTCAGAATTATTTAAACTTAATTATAGCTTGTATATTCTTTGCATTTTGAAAATGTTCGAAACATTAAAGGATGATATTTATAACAATTTAACTTATTTAAGCTTGAGTTCCGCATTTTGTTACAGAGTACATGATCCTGCAGGTTCATCTGTAAATAAAATAAAAATAGAATTCTTTCTTATTCATAATCTATAACAAACAGGTGAACATAGCGCACAGGTCAAAACACCCAGCATATTTTTATGAGAGCATGCTTGTGTGCAAACAGCCAAATTGTCCTCATTACGTCATAAACTCATGCTCTGCACAGATTACTGCGTACTCAGCACAGACATACGACTGTTTCCAAAACACCAGAGGCTGAAATGACCTCGATAATTGCTCCGTGTTGAAAAATCTGCAGGAATATTTTCAGGACAGATAATCGAGAGCTGAGACTTTAAAGTCTGTAAACACAATAGAGGCGCAATAAGGCTGTGATATCCACTGCACACATAAATTCTGATAGAGGAACAAATGGAGAAGATTTTGCTATTTGTAGACATTAATCATGTAGGGATCATATATGCTGTCTTCAGTGCTGAAAGAAGTATGCAGATGCTTTTCTTAAAAATGAGAAAAAACACTGTAAAAATACTCCCATTACAAGTAAAACTATTTGGAAAGTAAAAATCCATATTTTTCTAAGGAATAATACTTATATAAGTGTTGCCTAACTTGTATGTGGAACTCTCCAGAAATACTGTTTAAACATAATTATGAATGAGGGTAGAACTATTTATTTTTGAGAAATGGCTAGCTTTAGCATATTAGCACGTTATGTAGCATGATTTCAAAAATAGCTATATAGCTGATGCTAACAGTAACAGTGAAAAGACAACATAATGATATAACAAGTATTGAATTAGTGAACAAGTAACCAATGCTCTGTTTTGTTTTTAGTTTTTGTTCAATTACATGATAAGAGTTATAGAGAGGCGAAGTCCCTCCCCTTCTGGGGGAGCTCCATGGGACCTTATTTCGGAAAAAGTATGTATCGAAGTCAATGGAGAGAGAAAGATTATCTTTCAATCCCATTTGAATTGTGCCACGAATTACACATATGATGTTTGTCAATTTAAAAGATAATTTTGCAAGTAAAAAAAAAAAAATGTGTCGTAAAACTGTGAAGGAAGGAACACATTTGTGTGTGTGAAACGCTTAATGAACTACATCTCTGGTCTCGCAGACTCTCACAACAACACACGTCACCAAGATGGCCGTCACTACTGTCTTGTCAACAAAACGATTGCCTACCCTCACTATCACCACAATGAAACACGTCCAGAAGAATATCATGCAAAGCTGCCTGCCTGCCTGCCTTCCTTTGATTCTCTCTGAACTGCCTGGTCTTTTTAATGTTTAATGTAAACCATTTGTGCAGATAGCATGAAGTAGAAAAAGATCGCCGATGCTAATGTACCGTTAGCATTTATCCCCCGGGCTTAAATTGTGTATTATAGAATGATCACACCGGTGTGACAGTACTCTTCACGAAAGAGTTCACGAAAATATGACTACTACTCTTACTGTTTAACATGTTGGGTTACTTAATGTTACTTCATGTTAAGGCTAATACAAATGACAAGGCTGTAATGCTAACTAACGTGCTAGCTACTAGCTAGGTAGCTAACTTGATCCAGCCACTCTTGGTCCTTTCATCAGACGGGAAGCGAAAGAACGAGCAAGACCCATTGCTGGTATGATAACTGTTGAACTGTTGTGAACGATTCATCTCTTGAATGCTCTTATGCTGACGTCATATCTGTCAATCTGTCAATCACACAGCTGGTTCTAATAAAGGGATCATTGCTGGCTCACTCGGAGAACTCAGTCAGTGTCATATGAACTACAATGCAAGTGTGTGGCGTCTTTTATTCCTCCGTAGTATTAGTCCAAGGCTATCTAAACCTTTGCTGGTAATGGCTGCTGCGCCAACAATAACAACCTGGTACTAAGCACACAGGCATATTGTTAAAGTTATCTTATTTTAGCCAGCGCCATATAGATAGATTATATCTATATGGCGCTGATTTTAGCTATCTCTTAGTGGAGTGGTGGAAAACAGTCATCACTTACGCGACTCTGGGATTTGTAGTCTTTCTAGTTGCGTATTTTCATAGTCTTATATTTCAACAGTTTTACGACAAACTGTGACTTTTTGACATGGAAATGATTTTTTAAGATTGACAAACATATGTGTAATTCATGGCACAATTAAAACGGGATCGAAAGATAAGTTTTCTCTCTCCATTGACTTCAATACATAATTTTTCCGAAATAAGGTCCCATGGACTGGAAGTAGATGGGCGTGACTTCGCCACTCTCTAAGGCTTTTACCATGGCTTTTACTCACTGGTGTCATCAGTGAAGAACTTGTCCACCATGGCCATGTACTTCTCCTCTGTGGTCAGAACACTGCCCCCTGTAGGCAGCATTTTCTGGCGTGGAGGCATCCCTTTTAAAAAAGTCTGATGGAAGAGGAAAGAAAAAAGTATGATTAGAGGGCGACAATTGGTATGGAGATTGAATTGTCCTTTTGTACTGTAGACACTGTTCATTTGACTTGGTGGCTGTCCTGCTCACCTCCAGGCTGTCGTGACACTCCAGGCAGTAGTTGGCTCTCACCACCACGTACCTCTCCTTCCACTTCCTGGTTTCGTCAAAGAAAAGGACCGCCTCTTCGTATAGCACCTCGCCCTCCTCAGTAGCCTCCTGGTCGGCACAACACATACAATTGACACACAGCTAAAAATGTGGCACAGATTTAAATGTTGTTCTGGGTGGGGATTCAACCACTGACTCTCTTATTGGTAGAAGCCCATTTAACCCCTAATCTACAGACGCCTCTTGAATTAATGCCTATCAATTTTTAAACTAAGATTAACATTTTTGGGGAACTGATAATCATACTCTGATGAGTATCTCTATATTTTCACCTTCCGTCAAGGTTACGGTCCATTTGTAAATGGAAATAATTTAAATTGTAAATGTGTGTATGTTGGAGGATTACAACAACACCACTGGCCTGATTTTCTTGTTTGATTTAGGTGTGTGTCATGAACAAGAGAAGAACACATTTCATTTTGCAGCAGATCTAAATCCGAAGCTGATACACAAGTTATTCCTGGAAACAGCCTTGGTGCAGGATGGTGCTCTTCTAGGGTCGATGAGACAATTTAAACAATTTAAAGCAGGAGAAAACACATCGGGTCAGGCTGGATTTGATAATCAGGAAAACAATAACCTTTGATTACTTTTACTTATTTGTTATCATGGATTGTTTTTCAATCAGCCCTTTCATTAGTGAGTTTGAGAAGAGTACTTCTGGCTGTTTGTTTTATCCATATCCTAAATCTGTCCCTGTACCATATTTAAAGTGAATCATCTCTGTCTCAAGCTGGATAATATTTCAGAAGTTAGTCACACCTGCACATATTCTCACTCCTGCATTACGCTGCCAAACCGTAACCAAACCTCTGATTCATTCGACCCATTTGTAGTAAGTTCTGACTCAGATGTCTGGAACCAGTGTGACACATACCTTCTGGTTGAGGAGCTGCGTGATTTTCTCCTTCCGCTGCTCCAGGTCATCTTCAACCTGAGAGAAACGGGCCACAGAGAACTGCTTCCTGTAGTACGGGCTGAACTCCTTCAGCGTGGTCTCAGCCTGGCCTGCAGGAACACACAGAAAAGAAGCCAAAAGATAAGTAACTGACTGGTTTTATTAGGAAATGAAAGCAACAAAAACATTTCAATAGAACTGATTATGCAGACGACCGATGTTAAATACTGTGCCCGACCACTGAAGTTGGATTCCTGTTCAAGTTTCATCCAAACAAGAAAGAGGACACTCCAGTGTGGGCATATAGCCACAGGAAGAGGATAATACATGAACAAGAAAGTCCAGTTTGAAGACGTCTCAAAAGACAACCCATTTGTACTCTGTTACCTCATTCACACCAACGCAACTCCGGTTCAAGCTCCGTGCTAGAGCTTTTCAGGTTCAGAACCAGTTCTTCGGTTTAGCTCTGGCTCTTTTCACACCGCCCAGAGTCCGACTGGTAATGCGTCGTTGCGTCATCGTTTGCGTCATGACGTACCCGTTTGCGTGCCTGCTTCATAAAGCCAAACCGCGCGGATGAAATCAGTTGCATTCATTTCTTATGGCTCTATCTGCAGCTTTTCCGGAGTCATTTCTGTGGTTTAGTTATATTCTTATAAAAAAGTGTACTCGGGTCAATAAAGGTTTTTTTAACTGCTTCCGAGGTCGGTCTTATTTCTTAAGGTGGACTGAACCATGAGTGTGGAGTAACGTTGTATCTTTCATTTAAATGAACTGTAACCTTCACCCAGGTATGTACCAGCTGTTCTCAAATGAACACGTGAAGTCAAGTTTAATATTTATAGTTTTATAGATTTATAATGAGAGGTGATCAACGTGAATGCTCAGGTTCCACCTTAACACGCAGACACGTTGCTTCACCATGAGCAGAAACCTTTATATATACAGTCTATGGCAGAAACACTGAAACTCTGAGTCTGAAACTCTTGTTAAGTTTCTCCATCGTTGTGTACAAACTGGATAAAACGCGGGCTTTTTGTTGTTGTTCAGGAGTTGATCCCGCCCCCGCCTCGACGTAAGCGTGATGTATGCGGTGCTTTTGCTCTGGCCGGAAAAAATGTTGATGCTTGAAAAGAACCGGATTCCGGAGCTAAGAGGCTGCTCCGCTGCGGTGTGAAGAGGAAAACCCGGTGCTTTTCAAGCTCCAGCTCCGAACCGGCCCTGAAACACCGTTGGTGTGAATGAGGTAAATGAGACCAGCCAGAGAAGGATATTCATGGCACAATCCGATTTGTACCTACATTAAGTCATTTAAAAAGAGAACATTTACAGATTCATATGACTATTTTGTGTTTATGTGACATGTCCCTATGTTTTAGTGTTGAAAAAGTGCTTAATTTGTCTCATACTGCCTGTGCTGCAGCACCTCTTTTCACCCTCTGCTCTAATTGGTTAGCTGACTGGCTCTGTTGTGATTGGTCGACACTTATGGCGCGTTTCCACTGCAGCGGGTAGCTCGCTTTAACACTAGAACCGCCAACGGGTCAATTTTACCCGCAGCTGTTTTTTGATTGTATGTAACTTTTTTTCAATAAAATATTCAAGTCTCCCAGTCCGTGACTTTTCCTGAAAGTGTGTTATGTAGCACCCTCTGTTGTTAAAAATTGTCAATATGAAGTCAGATTGAAAAAATCGGCCAAAAAAATGCCATTTATACCCATATCCACCAGCGGGTAATATTTACCTCATAGAAAATGCAGCGTAAACATGACGTGTTGCTATAGCAACGCCTTTTGTCTACTGCGGTTCCTTATAGATAGATGGAGAGAGAGAGAGAAAGAGAGATAGACAGATAGATAGTTATAGATAGAGAGATAGAGATATTTGTACCTAAACTAAACACAAGTCTAACACCAAGCATTTAAATCAGCACTCTTAGTGATATTTTATACTTCATGCTATCTGCACAAACTATATCATATGAAAAGCTGAGAGTCCACAGATTCTATTGGTATACGTTTCATCCCTGTGCGATCAAAACTCACTGTTCTGTATGATAAATAAAAGAACATTGTACCTTGAAAATCAATAGGGGTACATTTTACCCGTTGGCGGTTTTAGGTATACAGCGACCTCTGGCGGTTCTAGTGTTAAGCGTGCCGAGCCGTGCGGGGCCCGTTTTTGGTTGCGTTTCCACTTGGCCTAGTTTTGGCCCGGGGCTACTTTTTCACCTTTTTTCTGGCCCGACTAAATCGTGGTTCTAGGGCCAGGAACAACCAGGCTGAGGTGGGCTGAGTATGCTAAACTAGAGAGAGAATCGCTGGTAAGGGGGCTACAACTACAACAAGATGAACATATTTGACCGTGATTTAATTGTAATACACGTTTCAAAATGATGCCGAAGTAACAACTACTGATACCGGTTAGTAAAAACCATGAATTAATGCTTTGACAAGTCTGCAGACAGATGGCAGGCGAAAAACCCTTTTAAAATGCGTGTTTTCTAAATGGAGCTTGGCTAAGCTAACGTTATATATGCTCCGACCGTCCACACTCACAACAACGGCCTATACAGACATAAATAAACCAGCGACTGTATTCGCCATGACACAGACAGTCTGTGGTTTGTACTTGTTTAACTTTTGTCTAGTTTCTGAACAGATATGAGGAGCTCTGAGTGCTAAGAGCTAACGGCTGTGTTGTTTTTCTGGGGCTCTCATTGAAGATGACGTCACGGCTCCGCCTACACTGTGTTACTATAGTAACTGCCCCAGTTCCTAAACTGTAATGGAAGCGCAGCATTAAAGTGAGCCGGGCCTAATAAGGCCTAACCAAACCGAGCGAGGCCTGCAGTGGAAACGCGCCATTAGAGATGGGTCAGGTATAAGGATGTATGTGCCGCCCCCGTTAGCGTATCATGTACAATGTATCAGAGCGCTGGCCAATAGAAGCACAAGTGTTACACAGTGATGTCACTATGTCATGGAGGTTTCTGGCTTTGCAGACCATTGACATGCACAAAAAACTCTATAACACTCTACAGGAAAGAGAGAACCAAAAAAGCATAATAGAGCCCATTGAATTACAAGCGATTTCCCTGCTAGCTCTCTTCATGTTAAGCAAGGCTGACCCCAGATCTGCACTGAACACACAGACATGAGATTTATAGCCATCTGAATATCTCACTTTCCAAATATTTCCCAAAATAAGAAAGAGATTACTTGCATTAAAACAGCCAAGCTAAAAATATAATACAAACCACATGAAGTTGGAACTGAACTGGTCAAAACTCTTTTGGTTGTGTTGCGTTTGCCAAAGAATACACAACAGAGCTTTCTAAAATCAAAACCTGAGCTCATCCATGTGCTCATTTTCCATCTCTTCCTCTGTGCTGAGACATGCCAAAGTCTTCCTCCCGCCTGGATAACAAACACCAGATGATATCACACTGTTCCCGAGGTGATTTCTGCATGATGCTGTAATCCGGTCACTGAGGTTAGTGTCTCTGTATCCTCTATCCATTAGAAGACATCTAATCAGACTCTGTCCGAGTCCCCAAGGCCTCTGTCACGACATCATACATTCAGTCTCTCCTGTGGTCTATCAATATACGGCTATCTGGCAGCGCATTCCCATTATTTGAGAGAGAAACCTCTCAGATTTCACTCTGCTTAAACCCGGCCCGATTCCTGACGCACAGGGATTCAGCTTCTTAGGAAAAACACAACAAAAAATAAAGTCACTGCAGAGAGTTCCCCATGTTTGTCTTTACTCTGCACGGCTGCAAACCACATCACCGGGGCACAAAGAGAAAACATTAAATGAGTATTTACGCTGCCTTAAATGCTCAATATCCACAAACTATGAGAGGTAATTCCCAGTGACACATCCTCCACTTAATGGATAAACATGCCTGAGCGTGCGGTGGCTGTTTACTGTCTCCCTCTCAGTGTTAATGTCGGGGTCCGTGAGCTCTGTCATTATCTCTCTGGATGTGTTACAGCAGGGGTGATGGCACAGCGCCACCACAACCCGGTTCAACATCGCCATGGAAACAGAAGCTGCGATCCTCCGTTACACTGGGTTTGAGAGTCGAAAAAATACATGTGGGAATTCTGAGGCTTCGAAGGGCGAAGAAAAGGGAAACCTTTTTTTAATGATAACAAAATAAATCACTCATGTTTACCTTCAAATTCAATTAAAAAAATTCATAGAAATATAATTAAGGTTTTTAGAGAAAGTTCAAAGGGATCACAAAACAATAACATTCTAATTACAATATAAATAGATAATTAATAGCTATTTAAGGTAGTTGATCTTCAAAAGGGACCTTCATTTTTCAATTGAAATCTAATTCAGCCATGACTTTTATGTTACATTTTATACATTTTTACCCCTTAAAAAACCTTTTTAATTTAAGTGGTAATCCATAAAGAAACCCATATCATGTTATAGATCAATAAATAACCCCTTAATTTAGGAAATTCCTTATATGTGCCTCTTTATATAAATATATTTTTGTTAAGGACTCAACTTGGGGTAGCTGTATTATTATATTGCATTAGTGTAAGGATCATTAACTCCTTAAATCAATCCATATAAAAAATGCATTAATACATATAATCCATAATTAGATTTTGAAAGATTACCCTATTGAATACCTGGATGATACATTTTTAATGTATGCTTGTTTGACATATATTTTAGAGCCCTAATGTAAACCTAACTCACAACTTTAATAACTTTAATCAATAATGAATGCCAATGTCAAATGTTTCAAATAGTGTAAATTAGGGATAACAAAATGTAAGAGCCTTGAAATTAAGGTGTTCTATTATACATTTCTGGCCACTATACCAAACTGGTATAGGAGACCAAGGGGTAGACCTAGGACCAGGTGGAGGGATTATATCTCTTCGCTGGCCTGGGAGCACCTTGGGATCCCCCAGTCAGAGCTGGTTGATGTCGCCAGGGAAAAGAAAGTTTGGGGCTCTCTGTTGGAACTGCTACCCCCGTGACCCGACCACGGATAAGCGGGAGAAGATGGATGGATGGATGGATATACCAAACAGTAAGTCACACATTTAGATTAAGATTTTTGGCGTGAATG